ATTGAACTTATAAATCAGGGCGAATGCCCGCACAACGGAGCTTGGGAAGAATGTATCTGGCTAACCGAGGAGCTGACTATCTGGCAGATGCCCCGAACCTACGCGAACCGAGCTCACCTGCTCCGTTGACCCCTCGAACGGTTGTGCCAGAAAACTTAATTAATTTGACATATATCAAGAGCTGTAGAGGGTCTAAACTTTTTGCCACCAAGGAAGAAATGCGCTAATGAAGCAAGCTGGGAAATATGTTTTGATGTTTTGATGTTGTGACTGCGTCTGTTGAGAGACCGCCAAAAAGTCGCCAAGCCATAATTAATCATGCAACAACATTCTTCGTGGCTTAGAGTTCCGCTGTGTGTTACCTTTTCCTGCGGTTCTTTCGGCCCGGCTAACTGAACTAAAACGCAGTTAGCCAGAGCGCAAAAACAAAAGCAGAATGGCCATAGCTGCGAGTGATATTAACATATCATTATGATAGCCATTAGCACTTTTAATTGATGAGTTTTTGCTGCCGTGCCAGGCCGCTTTCCCCCCGCTCGTTGCCAATCATTTGTCAATGGTCTTCGTGGTGGCTCAAAAGACAAAGCCCGACGGAGAGTCGAGAACGCGAAAATGGCCGCAGGTCGTGGATTGAGACCGCGGATTTCGTGGTCTTTGAGTGCGTAAAATCCGCTGAGTGAAACGTGAATGGGGTGAATGTGATGGAGTCCAAAGGCAGAAGAGGGCTATAGAAAAGGTCAACCTAAGCCGCACTTCATTGGGAATCAATTCTATAGTCATCCCAGTACCAACTAACCTGCCTTAGTTCAGTCAAAGAAACTTCCTTATAACTTGAATGAAGGGTATTATAAAGCAGCTAAGAGAAGCCTACTTTGATATCCATATTTTCCAATCAGACAGCTTGAATATTGCTTACAGGTTCATTGATCGCAGATGAAGTATCTTGCAAGCGTGACAATGAATAGAGCATACCCTGTACGCCCAGAGGTGAGATAAGCGAGAGCAGTTTGAAATTCATTGATGAATTTCAGCTCGGTTTATGATAATGGTTATGCCTCAGTTTGGAGTCATTATGGTTGTGGGCATCAATTAGTGAATGAGGGTGAAAATTGTTTCGGCCGTTTTACAGATCTTTACACCTTTCCCCTAATGGAGCGACGGAGTGGGCTAGTTTTATTTGCCTCCACTATGATTCATGGCTTGCGTGGCACGTTGCATGTGGCTTAGGAGTTCCGAAATTCCTCTGAAGTTGTCCAGCAACATGCAATTAAACAAATGCCTAAGAACGGATACCGTTAGTCGTGGTCTCCAAAGGGTTCTAAGTGCCCAGGGCCATACTCTTGGTCCCTCTTCAAAGGTCTCGTATCGCTCTTTGCGGCTTTTTAAGGCAAACACGCCTCCGAGCTCTAAGCTTTCTTTCCTTGAGCCAGATTGTGCTTGGCACATGTTGGACACAAGCCCTGGACCCGCGGACCCGCCTCCAGACGCCAATTATTGCAATCCAGTCAAAGGATGCGCCTCCTGGCCACAAACCCAGCAGGATGTTAGAAGCCGTCGGCAGCCGAAATCCGAGGAAAAGTCTAGAGGAGGCTGCAGCAAAAGCGAAAGTTGGGCCAAGACTTTTGGCCAGAGGCCTTAACGGAAATGGAAATGATCGCGGGGCGTTGGGGGTATCGGGATCCCGGGATCTTTGGATCTTGGGATCTTGGGATCTTGGGATCGTGGGGCCACGGGACGGGCTGGGCAATTAGGCAGCGCCTCTCGGACGTGAGCATTAAATTTCCAACTGAAAGTGGCAGATCCATCAAAAGTGAACGCAATCCATCATCTGGCGAATCACGGCGTGATGAGAGCAGCGCCGACAAGGCCCCCACTCCAGATCCCCATCCTTGTGGCTTATGATGATGACGGTGGCCAAGAGAATGGCGCGTTCGCAGCACGAGCTAAAAGGCTCCAGCTCCACCGTTAGATAATCGATGGAGCGGTTTGATGGTTGGATGGTTGCCTATGAGTGGAGAGCGGCTCCAAGGTCACATTTAATTGGACCCAGTTCAAGACACAGCCACCGATTCTTTCTAATGCCGCCTGGTCTACTTTCGCAGCTCCAGCGCGACCTGCAAGAGGGCAATTAAAACAATTACAGGGACTCTGGGCCCGAGTCCGAGTCTGTCTGAGCTGCCCAGGAACTCGGCGGAAAGGGCTTTTCGCTGGAACAGCACGCCCATTAGCGACAATCAATCTCGGCCACGCTGCAGCGCAGCCAAACTCCAAGCTCAAAACTCCAAGCTCGAGTCCGCGGTCCCCGGCTTTTCGGTTTATATTTTGCCGCGAATCGTAGTTTTTTCCCTCTTAGTTTTTATTATTTACGAATGCCACTTGCCAGATAACCCATAATTATGAAATTATTATTGGAGCGCCAAGCAGCGACGGCAGCGAAATGTATCTGTATCTCTGGGCCAAGACGATTCATTGTGTGTGCCGTCGGAAAAGCAGAAATCATTTCGAGCCGCGGCGGCACAGGAAGTTTTATTCGGGCCCCCGGCAGTGGAAGTTGTTCCAAAATATATGCACAAGCTGCCGAAACTGCAGAAACTGCCAAAACTTGTACAAGCTTCAACAGCGCTCGATGTCCACCTTTCCACTTTTCTGCACTCGATGAAGATATTGCGATACCAGCGGAAAATAAATAAAAACCATTTGGCCGGCTTAGGTCCTCCCTCAGAGAGCCCATAACGAGGCACCCAAACTTTTTATAAATTATATGCAAAACCGCCGCTGGGGAAATGGCAAACAAACAAAGTGTCCAAAATGCGGCGGGAAAAGTTAACTTGTGTTAAGTTGTCGGAAGAAAACAAATGTTGGGCGGTCTAGGAACTCAGGAGGCGGACCTCTCAGTTCTTGAATATTTATAAAAGGCTGGGGGATCCTCTGAGCTGACGACTAACAGGATCTTGTCCTGCACGTGCTGTTATGAGGGACTGCGTTTCTTGACTCCCGTTATCTTTGGGAACTAAACCCATTTTGGGAAAATTTAAATGTTTATCAATTGAAACCAAAGGCCAAACCTAGGGCTTACTTCTAGTAAGTATGTCGGATATAATTGTAAGGTCTATTAGCTATGGTGCAATAACAAAAAAGTGAATACCGGAATTGGTCACATTTTAGGAAGCCCAAAGATGGTGAAAGGTCTATTAAGATAGTTTAAAGTAACATTAGCATATGTAGCAATTCAGAACTCTGAATGTAAGCATTGGCGAAATAAATCTTAAAGCCTGGATCCCCTTTTGGACACTCGAACCACCCGATCCTAACCGCAAAAGGCCGACTGAGAAAGAAAAATGGCGATGCTGCTGTGCGATGATGGAAAGGAGATGGCGGCAGGGTGGCGGAGCTGGTGGATGGGGATGATACTTTGAATGCGAGCAGGAGAGAGATGTTCATCGGAACGCATGTTCTTTGAAAATTGCCCATAATTATGCGAACGAACTTCAAACTGATTGTTTCTACCGACAGCAGGGCAGTCCCAGAACCAAGAAACTGAGAAGCGAGAACCAAGATCGGAGAAGCCAGAGCACAGAGACGAGAATCCCTGGCTGGAACTCAACTCCATGGACCACGCTGTCCGAAAAACGCGCGTCCGTTGCATGCAACGTGGCTGGGATGAGATCGAGATCGGGACCATGGGCATCTGTATGCCTATGTGGAATAGCCCGCTTGGCTGCAGTGAAAGAGAATGACTGTAATTACGCATCACTTTTTCTTAATTTTCATGCTGTGCATCTTGCGGCCCTTCCTCCTCGGAATGGGAATGGAGGATGGACGAGGAGGGGTCCTCCATCTTGTCGCTTGGGAACGATTTGAGCACTGAACTTGACCCACAAGACGAGTTTGCGGCTTTTTGTGGGGCTGAGTTTTAGAAAATTGCTCGTTTCGTTGCGTGCATGTTTCCCAAAATGTGAGCGACTTGAAAACATTTTGCGTGTTTTGTGTTGTTGTCTGTTGTCTGTTGTCTGTTTTCTGTGTTATGCTGCTTCCTTCAATGAGAAATCTAATTTAAAAGATACAAATTTTAAATTATGGGGTTTTCTTGGCTGCCAAAAATGTTTTCGTTGTTTTTTTCGTCTTTTCTCCTTCTTCACAAATGATTGCTTCTACGTGCTGCGAAAGACTCGACGGCATTTCGGGATGGGAAGGCAGATACGCAATTTCGTGGCGGAAATGCTGGATGTCAAGAGTGGCTGCCATAGAGAGTGGTTGCATAACAGCAATCAAAGCAATTAAGGCTAAGGGACAAAGGGTTCTCACGCAACAAAGGGTACTTCAAAGTCTAAGCGTTCTTCGCAAATCAAATTCAAATTTGAAAGCTTTGCGGGCTTTTGCGCAGGGCTGCATTCCGGCAGCTTAATATCGATTAGCCAGCTGGTGTAACTGGATATACCACGTATGTGGTATATTTAGAACATTTTGGTATATTTAGAAGTGGGTAGGCTAAACCAGCATACTAGATATCTCAATTACGTTATTGTTGCGTTCTGTAAGACATACTTCGATAAAAGAAATACCAAACATTCGATAAGCGTTCCTCTTTCACTGCTTGGCTACTATTAAAACAATGTAAACTAACATTTCTGATATACGAACGCTTATATTAACATGCGATACAAAATACCAAACATAAAAAAAAATACTATTAAAATACCTGTCGATCAGGTGTTTAGATTCAGATAAAAATATATGTAGATATTTGTAAGTTTGGAGAAACGAGGATTGTGTTGTATTGTTTACAAATACCTGTTATGTTACGCGGATATGTTCATTTAGTGTTATGTTTTTTTGGGAGTGAAAGTGTGTGATTCGATTACTAAATAAAGGATTTAAAATGTGTGTCGCACTCTATGGCTAAACTAAACCTGCTCAAACAAGGCTCTATCACAGTCTAGCCCGGCATTGTAATTACTTATGATGTAAATTAGTTGCCAGGAATATAAGACTATTATATTTGATGTAACTCCCTGGCATGGACACCCCCGGAGGTATGGAAGACCTGGCCAGCGTGTCCTTCGGCGACTTTGAGACAAAATCCGCCGAAGTGGACGTACCTTGCTACCAAAACTTCCGGACACAGGCGAATCATGACATCTCCTTGGACCTCTCGCTCGGCCAGAAGTCGGAGAATATCTTCGCCGTCGACCAGACGCCTACACCGACACGTCTTATCAAGAATTGCGACGAGGTTGGCCTCTTTGAGGACCTGCAGCACGTGAATCCCTTTGACATTGGCTTTCAGCGGGCTGCGGAGCAAAATGTCAGCGGAACTCCCAGCCGTCCAGAGGCTCCGCCCCTCGACGGCGAGTCCCTGCATACACCGCAGGTGTATCCATTAGAAGACTCCTCCACGGCGTCTGTTCCGCCTCGTAACCCAGTCAATCGTAGTGACAGTTGCAGCAATGTGGATGTGGAGCAGCTTCTGGCCACCACAGGAAACAACCCTCCAGAGGTTTGTCAAGATGGTCCACCACCGCTGCAATTGATTCAGCCCCAGGTCATCACGTGGGTTCTGCCAGCCCAGACGGTTTCCGTTCCCCTTGACGCCGTAGATTCGCACAAGGGTAAGCCCACAAGCGCCATTCGCCCCTACATACTCCCCAAACCCAGTGCTCAAGGATCACAAGTAACCAGCAAAAGGCCTGAGCCTATTCTCGTCACCTGCAACCCTCCTGGTCATGAGCGCAGCAGCGCCAGCCTGACGCCCACTTCCCAACTGCCAATCAAGGAGAGATTAAAGGCCATTCTGCACAGCAACAACAACAGAAGCAACTTCTCCACACCGCCCAAGGTTGCGAAAACGAAAGACGCAAGTAGGGACGAAGACTGCATGGAGCGACGAAGGGCAGCAGCCTTTAGATACCGCAACAAGATGCGTAACGAGCATAAAGATCTGCGCAAACAGAACGCCCAACTACAGCAGGAGAACCAAGAGTTGCACGAGAGGATTGCCAGGCTGGAAAAGGAGTTGCAGCAGCACAAGAGTCATAGCCGTTTAGCTGGCGGTAAGCCCGCATCATCTCTTCCGTAACACCTAAGTTAATCTATCCTCTTTTTTTAGTGGTGGCCAACCAGCTACAGATACCGCCGTCCAGCATACACTTGCTCATCAATGTACCTAACATTTTAGTGCCTTCATCCGCCAGCAGTGCAAGTGCGGATAAAAAGTAACCAACCGGTCTGTTTATTCATTTATTTTCCGGTGCCATGTAAATAATCCTAGCTTAGACATTTATTTGTACAAAATGCGTGAATTTGTTATTTAAATAATTAAGAGTAAGTGCTCCTGTATCCCCTAGCTGTCGTTTCTGTAGTTATGATTTCCGTAAACTCCCGCTGTATTTCTAAAATTGAGTTCTCGATGTCCACCAGCTGGGGGTTACATTGTACGGATGAAGTCGCAGGAGAGCGCAACTGCTCCATGGTCATCTGGAAGAAAGAAATGGAAAATTGATGATTACAAATTCTAATTGACTAACTTTAGTTGCATACATCACGCAACTTCTGCTGCAACTGGTCCCGCTGACTACAAAGTTTCTGAATGTTGTCATAGTATTTCTGGGCCAGCGGAGCACCTGCCGTTTCCGAGTAGTAGCGCTGGGCGAGAAGCTCCATCTCCTGGTTGCGTATTTCATCTTCGGCCAGCTGCATTTGTTGGTTGTGCCGTCGACGCTCTCGCTCGATGCTATGCATGAGCAGGTCTATGTCTTTCTCCATCTCCAGGACCTTACGTCGCTGCTCGGACTCGTGCAATTTCGTGATCACTTCGCTCTTGCGGCGCCGCACCTCCATTTGGTACGTGAGAAGCATTTTGCGCTGGATGGTTATGCGCTCCTCCTCGCGATGGATAGTGTCCTGGTAAAGTTTCTCCATTTCCCTGAGACGGCGGGCGTGCTCCTCCTGCTTAAGACCGTTTTCAAGGCGTTCCTTGATTTGGACCTCCTCTAACTCCAGGTGGCGAATTCGAGCATCAATCTCCTGGTTGTGCTTTAAGAGCGATACTGCCTGTTCCTCCTGCTTCTCGATCCACTCGCTAGGATACTTAAGAAACTTAGGATACACACCCTTTGGAATGGGCCTAAAGTGTTCCATAAATCGCTGTGGATGAAGAGCTAGCTCACACTTGGCCATCAGCTTCCGCGCTTTAAAAAGAAGTTTGCTAATGTCAACAGGATTCTGATCGCGGAAATACATAAGCACTGATCGTTTGTCTGGAAGCCGTATGACGATTTCTCGATGAATCACATTATAGGCGACGACTAGAAAGACCGGGAACCAAGGCGGTTCGGACACAATGTTGTCCCACAATGACAGCCAATGCTGCTCTTCAAGAACCTCGGAGAAGGCAGTGCTCAATAGAGACCAGGCGAAGTCCTTAGGAGCTATATCCTGCGAGTTGTAAAACTGGCAAAGTTCTTCGTCGCAGTGCTGCAGGATATTATCGCACATTGCAAGGTAATTAGACGGCGGCAGCGGATGAAACTCAAACCACAACTGAAAGTGGTTCAGGATTAGAGTCGCTACCACCTCAAAGGAAACCAAACTGTTCTTGGGTAACTGCTTCACAAACGGATAAATAAGAAGCGGCATAAAATCCGCGTGGGCCAAAACCTTGCACCATTGGGAAAGACAGCTCCAAATCTTGATCACGGCCCGCCTCTGGGCATCGTTGCGTATTTTAAGCTTCTTGGCCTGATTTTTGACCATGAGAGGTGCCCCCAGTTTGATAAGCGCCTGGAACTGAGGCCCATTGCAGGGCAGGTCCAACAGAGATGTCCAAATGAGGAACCTATACTTCTCAGGGTAACAGCCGTATTCCTTGAGCATGGCTTTCAGGCGCTCTGGTTTCAATAGATGTCGTAGTTCCTGGCTTACTCCTCCACCGACACTGCAGTGCGGCAGAGGTTTTGGTTGCTTAAACGTGGACTTTATCTGGTTAAGGCAGCGGGTCTGAACTTGCAATGCGTTGAATAGCCGGCAGGTTGACCACACATTCACCTCTCCGCAACGGGATGTTACACTGAGCAGTTTTCCATCTCGACTGAGAGTCAAACTAATCGCATTGGATCGCTGCACAATCAACTTGTGATCCGTGTTTGTCAAATCCAGCATGACGGCTTGGTTTCTTGTGGTGATCCCAAACACTATGCGTTCCTTTGGCTGCGCCAGAAGAGCCATTTGGCGGAGAGTAAAATCAGCCAAACGATAAAGTTTTTCCAGATCAAATGAGGCAACACACAGCACTAGGAGATATCCATCCAAAGTGCTCAGACACATTTTGTTGCCATCGGGTGTGAAGCAGTAGCAGAGCAGCAACCCATCAGCGAAGTCGTGGTCCTGACAGTCGAAAGTCAAGTCGTCTTCCAAGTCGCTGTCATCCGTGCCACGCAGGACGATTTCCGGAACAGATTCTTCCACTGGAAGTAGTCTTAGTTTGCGATTTCTGGCTTTAATTGGTTGAGCCATCCGTAAAGTGCACAATGAGTGTGAGGACCATACATGCAGCGAGTCGTTAGAGAATCCTATGAAAAACTGGTCGGAGTTGGGCAGGAAGGCAGCGAACTTCAGCGTGTACCGCGACTCATCAAAATCCAGCTGATGGGAGACTGCCAGCGTGTGCAGATTCACCAGGAAGGCCTCGCTGCCGAAGCGCATCAAGGCATTTGAGAAGCGCGGATTTTGCAGGCGATTGCTCCAGCTTAACTCATCAAGAGTTGCATTGCCCACCTCTCCGCGAGCGCCCATTATCGAGCTGTCCACATCTATGATGGTAATTCCGCCCGTTTTATTGCCAACAATATAGTCACTATTGTGCAGGGGAGATGGACGAATAAGCTTCGCCTTGGGCAGCCGGAACCCCAGACGCCAGTAGCGTTTGTGCACGAAGTCAAAGATGAAAACGTTGCCACTGATTATTGAAAGAAGACAGGTTAAAAGTAGATTGCTCCATTAGTTTCCGAGATCCTTACCGCTTGTCGATGACGACCAGTTTGTTGCTTAGCTCATTGAAACAGCAGGCGGCAATTTGAATGCGCAGTCGGTGACCTGCTTCTTTGATCGTATGGTGCACGGTCAGGATGTTTCTGAAAATATATGAGTTCTGATTACTACTCTGGGATTTCCCAAAACCACGTACTTACCCGCATTCGTTTTGCTTTAGTTTGAAAGGAAACTTGCGCATTGGAGCATCGCTTAAAGGCATACTGCGCGCAGTCTCAGCCTGCGTCAAGGTTATATCCGAGTCCTCAGTATCCACATCATCGTAAGTAGACTGCTCCAGGTCTTCCTCCGTCAAATCATCGTCCAGGTCCTCTTCTCCATGGGGATCGTCCAGCTGCGATTTTCCAATGCCGTGCAGGGTAACAGAAGGAATGCCTGTAATCTCCTCCTTTATTTCTGATTTTATAATCCTATCCATTTTACGAGCTAAAACTATTAATTATTTTTTATTTGTCAAACACTTGTAATCCCGGCGACGAATAAGGTATCACTTGGTGCAATCATTGCATTTTACGGACCAAGGATACTTTTAAAAACTTGTGTTGCGAAACTAGATGTAAGATTCTTCTCATCAAATAATTGTGGAAACAAATAATCCTTTAGCTAGCAAATTATTAATCTAATAATGTTAATAAAAAATATTTCTCTGAGTGAAAACTGCCAGCTACATCCGTTGATGAACCACCGCCTATCGAGGAGCGGTTTGAATATCGAACCAGCATTGGAACTGGAACCAATACAACCCATCTACACTGTAAAAGTATTATTTACTTTATTTACTACGTCTGTTTATTTCGTTTATGTTATCTGAATACACTTGATTAAATGAGATTGGCTGATGACTGCGGGCAATCGAACAGTTTGCGTGCCTATGGATAAAAGTCAGTATCGTCAAGACCCATATGATATTCGGGTGTAATTCTTCTGCGCCGGTTACTGGACGTAAAGTGCAACTAGACCATAAATGTTCTCTAAAACATAGATCCATAAGGCTCCTCATCTCGCATGGCGTAACCGAATATAGTGCCGTAGTTGATTATGTTGCTTATTATTGTCAATATGCTTGCTGTCCAGGTGATCTGAATAAAAATACAGTGTGAAATGCATACTCCCCCGCAATGCCTTTAAGTTTGTCCACTCACCACAGACGCATGGGCGAGAACGATGGGCAGGGCGAAGGCACTAAGCACCATGCCCGCGGCGAGGAAGAGCGCGAACTCAGACTTCGGATTGGTCTCGGTGCCCGGAGTCGTCCGCTTGGCAATAAATACTGGCAGAACCGACAGTGCGTAAAACAGCAGAACAAAGAAAGGGTAAAATATCTTTGGTGTGGGCACAGCACAGGCCAGGATCAGGAAGGTCAGTCCCATGCATGTAAGGAATGCGCAAATGATGAGGCTGCAATATGAGGATAACCATTATCAGACGTTCACCCTCGGGGGTGGGTGTAGACTTACGCTTTGATACATTTTCCAGACAGGTGAATCGTGTTCCAGGTGAGTTTGGGTAAAAGGGGGACGTTAGTCATTAGATGTGATTTAGTAGGAACTAGCATAATTACCCTTAAAGGTGGCCATTGTATTTGTTTATAATTCCAGTTAGAATTTCGTTTCTAAAAATGACTCAGATGTGTAGTTTCGGGTGAACTAGTTCATCAGTGCGGCCCCACTTGGACCGCAGAAAAATGCTATCTGTCTCTGCCAAATATACTGACAACCACATCTTCGAATATACAGATAAAAATAGTTATAATTTAATTCAATATTTGATTTTTACATTATTTTCATATACAATTCATAAGACTTCGGACTAGCAGTAAACATGCGAACTTGTCCTACTATTATGTTGTTTTATGATGTAGCTAAGCTTTCAGCCTCTTCCATAAATCAAAATGCTAATCAGCTTTTGCAGTAATGCATTCTTTCATTAATGGCTAATTAAAGAGGATAAGGGCAGAAACCACCATATGTCAATATCCGTGGTGAACTACATAGCTTGTACCTTAAAGATCGTCAACCTATTTTCTATTTAGTTTTCCAACCGATCCCAAATAATGTTTTTTTCATCTCAATTGATTCGCTCAAAAGATCCCTTCCGCCGTCAAGTGCCCTCCATTGCAACCTTTTTCATAAGCTGGGAAGGAAAGCTCCTCTGCTGCCAATTCATTGATAAAAATAAAGCGTGCCCTATCCCAAGCAAAAAAGCTGCAGGAAAGGGAAGCCTCCTTAAAATTGGTGGGAGTGGGGCCGGGGAGCTTGTAGATTTGTGAGTGGCAGCCACCTGCTAGCTACCCGAGAGTCGGGCTCGCCTCGGCTCGGCTCTTTATGAATGCCCGTGGTTTTCTCAAAGAACTGCGGAACGGACGTGCCGAGCTTTCCAACTCCTCTGTGCGCAGGCGCCTCTCGAGTCCACTGTGTGTTGTAGTTGCTACTGCGGGGCCTGCCCTCAAAAGCTACCCGCAAAATTTAACAGCGAGGGGGCGGACATAACATTTGCGTCACAGCTTCTGCTTCTTCTTTTTAGGCTTCGTGCTTCGTGTTGCTGCTTTTTGCTTTTTGCCGCCGCCAGGCTCATTCAGTTTCTTCAGTATAACGGTATACGTCGACGACGGAGCAACGCAGGTCCAGGAGTCCCTAACCACATATATCCACACATCCATATGTCCATCTGAGGGTCTTTACCTGCAATCTGTGAGAAAAGTGCACCATTTGACATTTCTAACAGCCGGTTTAAGTGCATAGTGCTTTATTTTCGAGTTAAGCAACCAAAAGGACTGGAACTGTTCCCTTAACTTAGGCTATTAACGAGAAATATTGCACGCCTACGCGAAAAGTGCAAAGCAAAAGCAAAAAGTCCGGAGAGCAACCACCAGCAGCTGCCACTTGGATATATTCGCGCGAGTGTGCGAGTGTGGGAGTTGAAAATCAATAAACCCTGCCGACGTCGTGGTTTTGGCCAAAGCCCCATTAACCGGCCATATGGCAGTCGTGGGCGTGCAGTGCTAGATTATTTCCATTCGCATTCGCTTTTGCGATCTCCAAACGAAGACAAAGGCCGTAGTGCAGAGTGCAGACAAATTTCGCAAGTGCAATTTGTGCCAAGTGCAAGATGGCGCCTCGCCTGGAAATCACCGTTAGCTTCGCACTCGCTGCAACGGTACTCTGCAGCATATTGGGTCATTGCGAAATGTCCGTTTACCCAGGTAAGCCTAAAAATAGCACACTACACCCACACAGCCGTAGTTTTAAGTTTGAATGGCGATGGCAACGGCAAAGGAGGAGCGAAAGGGGCGGCCTCCTCGTTTTGTGTATCCCCTGCACTAGATACATGCATGTGTATGTCCTGCGAAATGTTCCCGAATCGAAGCAAAACACCCACGCTCTTTGCTTTGGTGAAAACTGAAAAGTCAAGATAACTGCAGCGTCATAACGTTAAGTAAATATGTATATTATAGGACGTTTTGTTTATCATAGCATACATTTGGGAGGTTAAAGCCTTTAAAGCCTACCTACGCAGCTGTAACAAATAACTTCCTTGATTCGAGCGCAACAGTAGCCCCTGCTGCCAGAAAAACAACAAAGTGCGATAAAGTTTCCAAGCACGTCACAGGCCTCGTTCTCGGTTCTCCGTTCTCCGTTCCCAGTCCTCTGTCTGTATGTTGGTCTCTCTCACTCTACCGCTATTGTTCGGCTTGACCTGGGCGCGTGTGTAATTGGTCTATTTTTAACCTCTGGCAATAAAACGGACTTTTGTTTGTCTATTTCGAATCCTTTCACGCTTTTGGGGGCTAGCCACTATTCGACCGTTCTTTCTATTTCTATTTCGACTTCACTTTCTATTTTCCGACCGCTGACACGCAGGCCAGGCTCATTAACATTAACGTAATCACCTAACCCGCGCCCACTAATCACTTGATCCGATCCGAATCCTTGCAGGACTGCGCCGCCGACCCATTCAGGCGCCTGTGATGGACATACAGAGCGAACAAGAGTACGCTTTTCTGTCTCAAATGATGGAACAGTACGCCCGTCGCCGCCTCCAGCAACAATTTGACCAACAGTTGCACGACATCAACATGAAGATGGACCGACAGCGGCAGCTGCTAGAACAGGAGCGGTACCGTCAGCGGCAAGAGCAGTTCGAAGTGCAACGCGAAGCGGAGGAAGACTATGAGGCCAACGGAAACAATCTCAACCAACAATACGATCAGTACGACAACGCGGAGGCGGAGCCCAGCTACGGAAGTCCGATGGAGGCGGTATCCGATGTCCAGAGCCCCCCTCTGTACCTGCCCCGCCTGCCAAATCTACCGCCAATGCACAGTCTGCCCAATCGGCCTAATTTGGGCAACTCTCCAAACCGAAACAGTGTGCTTCGCGAGCGGATTCCCTTCGCCGTTGGTCCCAATGATGCCCGCTTCTTCGACAACCCAAACGACCCTTCGGGGGAGCTGGATTCCCGGGCTCTGGATGACTACGAGGAATATGCCCCTATTGAGCCCACGCCTGAGGTAGCCACCACCGCTAGCAAGACCAAAATTGCTACGCCAGTTCCGGCTCCCGTGCCTGTTGAGCCGCCCAAGCTACTGGACGCCGCCAACGCTAACTTCCACCGCATCAATCCACAGTCCGTTGCCGCCGCAGCCGTAGCGGGAGTGAATCTACCCCAGGCTAAAGAGCAAACGCCACTCGAACTCAACGCACTGATAAACAAACTGCAAAAGCAGAGCAAGGCGCCAACTCATCTTAATCTAGTTAATGGCGCCGATCCCAGTCAGGAACAGATTGTACTGCGCCAGCACATGGGTATGAACAGCGAGATGGGGGTGTACATAGTGGCCCTGATAGCGGGAATTAGTGCAGCAGTGACTGTTGGGCTGTTGGCGCTAGGAGTGACTTGGTGAGTAATCCAGAAAACCATAAAATAGCTTTTATTGAAGATATCCAATCCCACTTCATTAGGTTCCACAATCGCCACAAGGCGGCTGCGGATGTAGAATACCCTGCGTACGGAGTTACCGGACCCAACAAAGATGTTTCACCGTCCGGCGACAGGAAGTTAGCCCAGAGCGCCCAAATGTACCACTACCAGCATCAGAAGCAACAAATCATCGCTATGGAAAACCAGGCCACGGATGGCAGCTGCGGCATGTCGGACGTGGAGAGTGACGACGACAACGAGGAGGGCGACTACACTGTTTATGAGTGTCCCGGCCTGGCGCCCACTGGCGAGATGGAGGTAAAGAATCCGCTCTTCCTGGACGAAACGCCGGCGACGCCCGCAAACAATCTATCGTCCCAATCCGGTGGAGCAACCAATGCATCAGCCGGAAACAACAATAACATCACACAGGCCACTCCCCAGCAGCCGGCCACTCAGAAGAAGGGAACGGTTAAGCCGAATATGAATCTCCTGAACGCCGCCGCAACCGCAGCAGCAGCCGCAGCCGCATCGGCATCCGGAACGCCCGGGGGCGAGGAACCCAAGCAGAAGCGCAAGAGCAAGAAGTAAGACGATTGGACCTTGTTTTCCCTCTTGGGGCAATTGGTAAAGTTTGACTGATCCATTGTCAGCCAACAGACACATCCTCTCACACAGATTCAGAAACAGATCAGACTAGGTGCAGAGGCACGTATATAAACTCCTTACAGATAGTCCGGGGAATTAAATTCCACGAGCCGAGCAAATCACACACGACACTCAGTCCACTGACTCTATTCTTCCCTATATGCATAAGTCCTGTAATGTAATGTTATCGCATCGCTATGCAGTAAGAATAGCTTCCAGCACGCCTGAGTCACTGAACCGCGAATCCCCCGTGAGCCCGCGCACCCATCCCCATCCACCCACTTTCCACCCGCTGTCAGTTGCACAACGCTGCTGATTCTATTACGATCCGGCATGTGTAATTCTATTTGTGTGGCAGCCTCAAGTTATTGTATATGTATATCAAACTTTTTTGGTCTGCGATTCGTTGGAATACTTTAAGGTCTGGAGCAAAGAGCTGAGGAAGAGGGACAACCAACCAAAGCAAACTAACATATTATATTATTATAAATATATGTATACACACACATGCATATTTATATTATAGATATATATTCATGTAATTATTGTAATATATACACGGAGGCGGACACCTTTTTACTTACCCGTCTGTGTGGTGTACTATCTTTTCTCATTTTTACTACGCTTTGTGATCGATCCTAAATTATCTGTGTCAATTTAGAAATACAATTCTGGTAACCAACCTGTAATGCATGCAAACATATTTAGAGGAGCGAGGAGAGGAGATTAGAAGGAGAGGATTATTTACAAGTAAAACTTAACAATAATTTCCCTGCACATTCATGTAAAGTAAATGAAAAACGACTGATAACACACAAAGATAACACGCGTCTATTGTACAAAAAAAAGTAAAACGAAACGAAAAGAAAGAAACAATTTATTTACTGATTAGTAAGATTAGCAAAGGAAACTATCAGCGGAAACGACTCCCAGCCCCAAGACAACTATAGGAAACTGTAGCAAACATTTTACTATATTATATTCTCAATTGCTGTAAATAAACATGAAACATTGGGAAGAGGATGAGAGTTAGGAACCATTGCGGCCGAAACAATACACTGAATACAACAGAATTGAAGAACTCGCGAGTTCAAAAACTAGCTAAACCAAACAGAACACGAATTATATTTCTATTGACTAGTCGAAAATGCAAAGCATCTCGGAGCATTAAAAATTGAATTTGAATTCCAAATCGAAACTGACTTAGCCACAATAAAATGCGCTTAGCATATGAACGTTGAGCGTAATGTTGAGTTTGAAATATATATTTTATGGTGTTTGGCCTCAGACACGCGAAATAGTCCGAACTCAAAACAAGTACTCGAAAGGCTACAAAACGAGCGAGGAGCAGAGAACCCACATGTATTGTGAATAAAAAGCATAATTTAATTTATTCATGTATGATAACCGTAACAACACAAATTATACAATATGCATACAGAATAAACTAAACTAACCGGAATATCTTGCGTTTTCTTTGTGAATGTTCGCGGATTCTTATATTTCGTTTCTTCTAACAGTAAACAAATTAATAATCTCAACTTTGTCCTTTGAATCTATTTCAAATTCAAATTTAGAACGGTTCACTCTAGTTCGTCTCCGAACCAGTTCGTGCCCGACTATCGATAGCACCCAACCCCGCTCTTATGTATTGTTAATATATTGCATTAATAATATAATATATTACATTACATTAATGCTTGGCTAATCTATGGCGCGTTCAAAAGTTAAACAGTTATATTCCCAAAATTTTCAGCATTTCTGGTCAAACAATTAAAGCGCCAGTGCGGACGAAACAATAACTTGCCACAGATGGTCGCTATTCGGGATTTTCCGATGTTCTAAGGTCTGGTCTTACTGTCGAGGGCTCCTATATCACAAATCATTTTTTGTCCCGTTCGTTTGTTCGCGCACCGATTTTTAATGTAAGTCCGAAAGCGTTCGTTTCCGAGATAATAAATCGCCGTTGCTATATTATATAAAGTGCAAAGGGCCAGGCTGTTATCGATTCGTTAGAATCTTGCCAAGCATATGGAATCTATAAGTTGCATATCTCTGCTCCTGTCCAGGTTTGCGAATGTGTGAGTGTGGGAATGTGCGGTGGTCAGTGCCTCAGTGTGAGTGTGTGAGTGGGGCTTCCGTGTCGCAAGCGGAAAACAAATTGATTTGAGTTCTCCATTTGAGTCATATTCCAGTGACAAACAAAGCGCGTCACCATTGAATTACTGTTTAATTTGATTACCGGGTACCGTCGAGCCAATCACCATCCAATCGCATCTGTGTGAGGCCACAAATTTAGACATGGCGTAATGGAGATGCGGGCTTCTCTGACTGTGTGCTAATTAATTAATTGCTCATACTTGACCTGGACACTAAGCAGACGCTGTTGAAATCGACAATATGTGCTCGCCCAGATGAAATGGGCGAAAATAGTGCGTGTTTGGTTTACGTTACGTGAGCCCGTCGTCTTGAGTGTGTTGGTTGGGAATGCTCCCTGTGGGCAAGTGTGTGTGAGCAGTGTTGGAAGTACCTAGTTGTACCTTAGCGAAATAGTTTGGTACTCTGAATTTACTTAGGTGAAGAAAAAATCGTTCAAATATGTATGTTGTATATCGTCGATTATGTAGTTAAGTGTTAATCTTTAGCCACATTCAATAATTTATTGATTAGCAGTGTGACCCCGAGCTCTTTAATTATATATATTAAAAACTAAACGTAGGTACAGAAAACAGTATCTTCCCCAGCACTGTTAAAACAGAGTTTCTCTCTATAGCTCAGTTCATTTGGCTTAATTTCTCTTTATTTACTCTCGGTTCACACAGATCAGGTTTTGTTCGCTCCTCGTCGGTGCAGCTGCATTCTTTCTCGTTCCCACCCCTGTCCTGGAAGCCCCTGGAAACCCCTGCACCTGTGCGTTCTTGAAGTGCGAGCAAGAGGCACACAGGCGAGGCCAGAGCGGCACTTGCCACGCTTGACTTGCAGCAGGTCTGCAGGCGACGCGGAAATGCCACAAGGAGCCGTAGCTATAGTCGCCGATAGCCAACAGTTCCAGTCCCGATAAGGCGACGATAAACCAGAATACACAGCTAACTGGAAGGAGAGATAACGGGGGGAGCGGAATTGTTTATTATTAAAATTCTGAATGGAATGACGATGTGATGGGCTCGTGCTCGTGTACGCGGCGACACTTTTTGCTGTCAATATGCTTCCTGCAAGTGGTGAGTACTTTACGATTCGACTGATTTCCATTCCCAATCTATAACGACTCTCCATTCCCCCTCCCCATGGAATCACAGATAACGATTATCGAGCGCCAGGTATTCGATTTCCTCGGATACATGTGGGCGCCCATCCTGGTGAACTTTTTTCATATTCTGTTCATCATATTCGGGTTCTACGGCGCCTACCACTTTCGCGTTAAATACATCATCACCGTAAGTGCCCTGATTACCATATCTCTGCGATAACCCCAATTTATTTTGTGTGCCCGCTTGCAGTATCTAATATGGAACTTCCTGTGGATTGGCTGGAACGCCTTCCTCATTTGCTTCTACTTGAATGTGGGGCAGTTGAACAGGGTAAATTACTCTATCTCGAAATATATTTTTGTATATATCACCTTGACAATGCTATTCTCTTCCCACAGGACAGTGACCTGCTCAACCTGGGCACTGGCAGCGTCTCCTGGTTCGAGGCGAACGGATACGGCTGCAAGCCCACCTACAACATGACCGCCGACGATCCGTTCCGACCGCAGCGGCCGGAGCGCGTGGAGGGATGCTTGCTGGACTACCCGCTGGTGGAGATTACCCATTCGGGAGTGCAGTGTGCATTGGCGGTGAGTGCCCAACTGGCTTAAGTAACCTAAATTGTGTAAATTGTCTCACCCACTTCCACAGCTGCTCGGCATACTCGGTGCGATTCTGATCAGTTGCATATTTCTCGATGAGGACGACAGATGTAAGTGGCGCTCTCTGAATACGAAGCATTGTCATTTGTCATAAACCTCACTAACCGGGAACGGTCATTGCTAATCCCTTCTCATTCCCCATAATCTTTCACTTTCGGGTCTCACTGTGCACTGTCTTTGGTGAATGTTTCCCCTCCTCACTGAACCTGCATTATTTCCCCTATGTGTAATGACGTTCTATGCTACCGATAAGTCTGCCGATTGTTTATTGTTATTGTGAAATATATCAGGTTGTGTATATGTAAGTTCTAGTATCCCCACCCAAAAACCCGCACCCTGGAATGCGACTATACCCAAAAAACTGACTCTTTTGATTTAAACATACATCAAATGTACCCATATTAACCATTGTGACGTGTCCATGTGAACTGTGAGCAACTCAACATATGCCTTTGAAAACATTATACTTACATACATGCCATAAACTCTTATTGTATTCCATGTTATGTCTAAGTCATTCACTCATAATCAAGACAACAACAACATTGTATTTGCTAGTCGTCAGCGACACTGTGCAGCGCAAAACAAAGTTCAACCACATTGAGATGGGTGCTCTGAAAGGCATTGAATTTGAATAAAATTAGTAAAACTAAATGAAATGAGTAATAGGAAAGTTCGTGTAAGTCAAACAAGTGAACTTTAAATATTAACTTATGCAAATAAGAGGCTGCTGCACAGTGTCCTGCGATATTCAATGTATTCTTCTGGTTATTGTTAAAGCATCTTAATCAATTTCTGGTTTGCAGTCGATTTCATGAACGGCGACGCGAAGAGTCCACAGCACACCGTGGTGCACCCAATGTACGTGAGCTATACAAGTATACCCACAACATCCGCAAGCGCCACCATGCAATCAAACAAGCATCTGCAACTGCAGCAGCAGCAGCAGCAGAACTCACTGAAACTCTATCATCATCAGCAACAACAGCAACCCAAACTACACCACTTCAACAAGAACTACCAGTTGAGCGGCAGCAACAATAATACACTCAACAATAATCTCCACCAGCGCGCGCCTTCGCTGCTGCCGCCAGACACAACAAATAACCACAGCGCATCATTCCAACCCCACAGTCACCCTTCGACCAACCATTTAACCCATCGCACGGGTGGGGAGGGGAGCAACTGCAGCAGCCTGCGCCGCCACCGGCAACACCATTCCAAGGCCCCCGTCAGCCCCAGTCCCATGTCACCCCAGACAACGCCATCCCTCTCGTACGCCTCGCTGCAAAACTCAAACCCCTATTTGGCCGGCAACTCGCTGAGCAACAGCAACTACAGCATCTTTCAGAGCCCCGACTCGCTTCAGGGCAGCTCCCACTTCGCCCGCATTCACCACAAGCCAAAGCCACCTAGGTCTGGTCTTCCTGTCTCGGGCGGATTAGATGTGAGTCCTGGCATGGGAATGTCCTCGCCTGTCCGTCCGCTTGAACGCCTGTCCCGAAATCTTGAGGAGGATGAGGACAACTTCTCGTTGCAACAGTTTGCTCCCGGGGAACATGGTGTAACCTATGTACCCTTCCAGAGCCCTACTCCTAACAGCCTCTTCCTGGGCGAAAACAATAACGCACAGCCCCACCTTGTCTTCCACTCCAACTCTCGCTCTAGTCCCAATAACAACGCATATCCCTATGACCAGAACGGGCTACCCTCTCCCCTTCGTCTGGGGTCAAATTCCAATACCCGACGTCCCACGCATATTCCCCTGCCAACAGTGCCCATGCACAGCTGCCTGGAGATGGTCGATGACGAGGATGCAGATGGCGAGTCTGAGGTAGATCACGATCAGATGCTGACGCCTCAGGCAGTAGTGCGACCCCACATCCATCAGCGATTCGGCCAAGCGCCATATCTCGATCTCTCGCCGGAGGTGGCAGAGCGTTATGCCATACCCAGTAAGCTAGGATCCGGGCATTCCGCTCAAGGCCCTCTTCCCGTCCCGCATGGCTCGCCCATGGTACGTCGCAGTAATCGTCGACCTCGGCCTCCGATTCCGGTTAACTTTTGCGACCAGATTCGTGCCCCTCCACCTGGATACGTGGTGCGTGCCAAGAGCGATGATCGCCTGGTTGAGCAGGCGGAAGTTGAAGCTGCTCCGCACGTGAATCGTCGGAGTGGTCGTAGTGCTAACGGCCAAAAGTCCCGTCCCCGCTCTTTCTGCAACTCAATAGTGGGAGTGCAGGCCTAGAGTTAAGTACGTTCTGCTGCACTTGCTCCTACTCTCTTCTTCTCTTTTACTCAAGCTTTCTGCCTAGGCGGAATGCCTGTCACTAACTCTACCAGGATTACTCAATCCACTCACACAACCCTTCATACATACATACACATAGATGTTGCTGTTTCTTTGTTGTGCCTAACCAGCCGGCTAACCTGGCTAAGAACAGGGCTTAACCGTAGCTTCCCATGCGTGCGTTTAACGATTCGGATGATGCCTTGCAGAGCTGACTTTAATTACGTAAAACTAAGTAATCATTCACATACGTGCGAAACGTTGAGACTTTTCCCGAATTGTGATAGAAGGCGTGAAAAGTCGCGACAGAATGCCAGCCTAACAATTTTATGTTGATCTGTGATAACTGAAAACAACCATGAACGACAAACGATTATTTAAAAAACGAAAAATGTCACAAAAATCATTATCAAGAAAGGATATGACAATTTGTTGAGAATGCAAGCGAGATAAATAAAATTTAGCGGCAATTGCAACTAGATGCCTTGGACGAATAACGGAATAGAGATTAGAGTATACAAGATATATATACTGATGTTATGCGCGGGAGAGCTCAGCCTCCCGAGAGATGCCTTTTGTTGTTAAACTAATATACGATATATACATATTTACCATAAATTATGAAATGTACTACGATGCAAACGCTAGTTGTCGAACACAAAGAAGAAGTTGCCTATTGAGTTAAGTGCGAGATTCGTTATACAAACGCAAACAAACATAAAGTAACAAATTTATAGAACTGTTAAGTCTAGTATTAAGCTTGAGGCCACACAAATGCATTAGCAGAGCAGATCCAAAAACATGTAGAATAGACACTATTTACTGTTTAGATTAGATCCTCGATCTTTAGCCATGCGAATTGCGCTGACTGGTGCCAATTCTCGACGAGATTCGAAGCGTTTCCAATAAAATGTTCATTTACACCAAACTAAGGGTTCTCTCTCTGCCTCTCTGCCTCGGAAGTCTTCTTCGTAGCCGATCCATATTTCCTTCTAAGCTGTTCTCTCACTGGTAGCTGGCTTTCTGTAGCATTTGTGGCTCTAACCAACCGCTAACTCTCGACTCTCTCCGAACGTAGCTAATCCAACTTGTTTAACAGCTCCAATCACAAAGCACTCAAAGCTAACCCGAGGTAACTTTGAACATTGTATCCGTATGTATTGCGGCTTAACGATCTTCTCGATCCCCTACTGATCCAATCTTGTTCTTCCCGGTGCAGTGAAGCATATTAGCAAGCAGTCCAAGCACCGCCAGTCGCTATACTCCATCGAATTTGGGAGTAGCACAGACACCATTCGGCATGGCGGCCACTCCATGGGACTGGGGATGGGTGATCCTCGAGGAGACCAGGATGGCGGCGAACTGAGTCCCAAGCCAATGACACCGCGACGCGTCAAGCGTCGATCGGTTATGGCGCGCGGAACGCAAGGAAGGCAGTCTAGTGGCGGCGGAAGCAGCACCAGACGCTCTCATCATAGTTCCAGCGGAACCTTAAGGTCTAAGCATGGTCACGGCGGTCATGGCGGCGGAGCGGACAGCAGCAGTGGAAGCTATGTTCGGAGCAGCACTCGTAACTCACGCAGAAAGTATCATCAGAACCCGGTGACCAAGATTATCGACCAGCAGCTGCAGCAACAACAACAGCATCCTCATCTGGGCTCTTTCCACCGCCAGGACAAGCTCTCACTGACCGCCTCCAATCTGCACTCACTCAACAATGACATCGTGACCAACACCAACGCGTCCAGCAGCCAGCTGGACAGTCTGGGTAAGAGCAACAGACACTTTTACCACAGCTTCCGCAAGAACATTCCGCTGGACCCGATTTACTACAACACCAATGGGTTGGGAGTGCTTGAGGATCCGGGTTCACCGACACTACCACCACCTCCACCTCTGCCATCTGCTACTGCCTCATGCACCCTGCAGGCGAGCGGAGGAGGGCACTATAATCCCAGCTACCAGCACTCCACCACTCAGTTGAACGATGTAAGTCACCCACCCGATGAACTGTACAACAATCGGCCGCCATCGGTGCGCTCCAGCTACTCTAATTTCCACGGCTCGCGGCCACTCTCATCCGCATATGTGAATGCCGCCGGCGAAAACGTGTTCGCCGGACTGAACGGGGCCAGTGCCAGTCCACCGCAAGCGCCATGTACGCCGCCCCTCTACCAGCAGCATCCCATGCACCTGCAACAGCAGCATCAGCAGCAGCATTATCTTCCGCCGCCGCCGATGGATCCGGCGCCTGCTTACGTCAGCGCCATGTCCTTCTCCAAACGGACTGCCTCGCGAGAAAGCATCCGCTCGATGGCCTTCCTCAACAACGGTCCGCCCGCCTACAATCTAAACTACCACACGCCGCCAGACTCGGAGACAACCATGTGAATGGTTTAATCATTGTATTCGCCCAGTACATCGTCCTCACCATCGTCACCCGCTTGGATCTCGGAATTTTACAAAACTATCATCACGGCCATCCCCACCTGCCCAAACATATTTATTTCGGTGCAACAAGCCACGCCCGTAGCCCCGCAGGGGAGCTCACTTCGCGCTTTAACCACATGGATAGGTTTCACTTTATCCGTAGTATAATGATATGTGTAGTGCTTAATGTATACGTAAGTTTCTGTCGTTTTACCAAAGTGCCTTTGTAAATAAACATTTAATATATTGGATCGATTATTTAAATATCCGCAAAGAAATTGATGTTCATATTTTATTGTCAGGTAAATTGACTATGTTAAGGCACGCTGATACGCTTAGTAAAGTTTCAAATACAAACTGGACATGGGGCTTTAGTCCCTGCGACACACTGCAAGCGAATACGGAAACTTTTAGTAATCGAAATCCGAGTTTTTCTTCAACAAACTCACATTCATCCGCATCCCAGCCTGGTTCAATGTCTAGCTGCTTATTGCGCTCCTTCAGCCATGTGAAGAGAGGGGCAAAGTACTCTAGGATGCCGCGACCGCTCAACTTCCGCTCTCCAGTGGCGATTTCCATGACATCTCGCCAGTGGCGACTAGCTCCCAGCTGCATCATTTCGCGCATCTTCTTGCCCGCTTCCTTGCTCTCGTAGAAATCGCAGTTGTGCAACGGAAAATTAGGATCTCCGGGCTTGTACTGGCCACTTGCCAGGCAGAAGGAGCGGTAGAACTGAAAGCCCAGAATCTCGGCGAGGAACTTCCTGTTAAAGAGTAGATTGTGTTCAATTATCGATTACAAAAACTGAAAACTGACTTTGTGTTTGATGTTTCCGGATTCAAGCCACGATAGAACTTAAAGTCCAGATCGAAATCTCTGTTGTGGCGTTGCGTTGGAGGCTGGACTCCAGCAAATTTATCCTGGAGACCCCAGTAAGCGCAGTTGTAATCTTTAACTCCTATCCGCCCGTCCATTACGTCAACCTGAAGTATATTAAGAAATGAACCGAATTGCTTTAGGGGCAGGTAAAGAAGTTAGGTAACCAGGAATTTGTCGTTGATAAAGTATTGCGGGACGGCAATCAAGGTGTGCACACCCATGCGGAAAAGTCGGTTGAGGGATTGCTCCTCTGTGAGGCTGTCGTTCAGTAGGATGTGGAGCCGTTGCAAGTGGCGTGGCGTGCCTGACGCCAGAATAACTGTTTCCGCAATCGCCGCTCCGAAACCAGGACACGGCTCTGTGTCGAGACCGAATGGCAGTCGCATTTTGTACATGTTGTACTGTATGTCCGCCATCGTTCCGTGGATCTGCATCATCTTCTTGTAGTCCAATTTCGGACAGTAGCGCAGCGCCACATCTGGAGGAAAGTAATAAACTTGCGACTTGCACTCAGATCCTCCTTCCTCGTCATTCATTCGACGGGAAAATCGGTCATAAAAATTACTGCAGAAGGTAAAGAAATGTTACAAAGGTGCTTGAAGCGTGGAAGAGGGTTAGTATTTACTCACTCTGACATAACAATAAGGCCCAGTGACTCAAAGAACTCGGCGGCCTTCCGGTTAATCTTGACAGGCGTCACTAAGACCTCTTCCAGGCGCCGGTGAACCGAGGGCAGTTGGTGTTCCCTACCTTGGTGCGGAGTGCGGAAGAACTGGTGTGGGTACCAGTCTTGCGACAAAATCTGGTCCATGATGGGTGCGGATATGGCGCCATCGCTCTTGGTATCTGCCTTTGGATAGGCGGCCTGCACTTCGTGCCGCAGATAGGCGTGTAGCTCTCGGTACAGCGGCATGATCTCCCACACAACTGCCTCTAGTTCGGCCTGAAAGTTCTCCGTGTCGTAGTTGAGGTACCAAGTCCGCGAAGGAGTTACATGCCCGTTGTATGTGGCAGCGATTCTTAGCAAGCGCACATAGTCGATGAACGTGCTCTTGGCCACGTCTTTTTCATTTATGGCCCTGCGCCAGGACTTCCAGTTTATAAGAAGCTCCTCGTATAGCTTGGTGTGCATATTCTTGTTCACGATCTTCGGGTACATTGACAGCGGACCATGGGCGGAGCAATCCTCATGGGGGCAGACCAGAGGGCCGCTGACAAAGTTATGTATCTGCCGCAGAAGGTCTTTGGCCTGCTCGTAGTCCTTTGGCCGCAGACCCTGCAGCTGCAGCTTGGCCATTCGCTGGACGCGCCGTCCCAAAAGTGGATCGTTTAGTTCAGCCACTGGCACCACGCTCAAGTTACCCGCCAGTTCGTAAAACAGTCGATATGTCTCAGCCTCCACCTCCTGCTTGGCGTTGAGGACCTGTCCTCCTAGCGGCGACTTTCCCTTGGCCGTAAGCTGCAAGAAGATTTTACGGTTCAAGCCCCAAACATTGCGCATGCGGCTAGTTGCCCTATCCAGGATTTGCTTGGTGGCCTGCTCATAGCCGGCGGAGTGGTTGGACCTGGAGTAGCAGACCCTAAAATTGAGGGTCACCAAAAGGATCAAAAATGGTATTCCTAATAGTGACAGCCGCATTTCGGCCTGGGCTAGCTTCCGTTTCGTTTCGATAAGGTTATCTGGGTGCTTGTTAATCCGTCTTGGGCTTTGCTTCCTACTCTGGCCGATTCTCGAGAAGAACTGAGCTGCTAGTCGAGTTGCGAGCTTATCACTTGGAGGCTGGGGCACTGAGCTTATCTGCAATTGCGAAAGAGCGCCAACTGGCGATCTCCCCGAGCCAACGCTGCGCATACGTTACGTGTTGGTTCTGACATTACGTATACGCGGCGTGTGCCAGCCAGAGGCGGAAATCGAAGTGGGGAAAGGCGGGCAAGGCAATCCTTACACCATTTTCGACTGATGAACAGCGTCCGCATGCTGCTGGCTTTGTTAGCCAGTGGCCCATATTCAAGCTTAATCATTTTGACATTTTGTTTGCAGGGAAAAGAGGCGAAGGCGGAGGTCTTTCGCCCGCGGTGCAGTAGCGAAGGATTCGGAATGGCAATCGGAATTTAAGTCGTTGAATCGGAGAAATACGGGGAAGTTCGCCAGAGCGTGTCGTCGTTCATGTAGCATGTGGCACGGCATTTGTTTATGCCGGCTGACCTGCAAGCAAACATACGGGAGCGGGGAAGGTGAGTTGGAACGAGAGCGGGAGAGCATTTCCCCGACGAGTCCATTTTCGGCAGAATACGGGGGAAATTTGCGTGTGTGTTTTTTCATAGCTCTGCATCGCTGTCGCCCTGCAGATTACGTCAAACGGAAAGGAAAAACCCGTTAGCCGAGCTCAGTCGCCGACGAACCTTAGAACCGAGCAGTCGCCATGCGAGCGCAAGTACGTACAGTGGCCCAGTGTTTTAGTGTCCCAGTGTGAAAGCCCAAGGAATATGGTGAAAAGCAGTGAACAGCCTGAAAAGGCCTGAAAAATAACGCAGAAAGGACCCACTCACATTCACTCGGTCGTACGCGTTACTATCACAAGTGCATTCAGTGCGAAGAAAATTCTTCAGCGCCCAAAAATAGAGTGAAATGTGTGCTGCATGTTGTTGCTGCTGCTGCTGGTGCTGAGTGGGCGGGAAAGGGGGAGGGGCCACGGAGGAAACTAACCTACATTTTCGCGCTCTTTCGCACGCTTTCACTGACACACACACACTAACACGGTGGCAGGGAGGCCACCATGCTATCTCGCTCGCACTCCCTCTCTGGGCCGCGAAAGAAATCAACAGTAAATTGTAATAACACTTCTCAGCCCGCTGATGTGTGTATGTGTGTGTGTGTGTCAAACAATGTGCGTGCCCGAAGTTTTTTGCTTTGTGCTGTTTCTGTTTTTGTTGCTGGTTCCGTTTCAACATCCCCATTCCCCCTCCACTCACATTGTTGCACAGTTGCGACTAAATAAAAATGTAATTAATGTAAAATAAAATCAAATAAAACACAGCAGCAGGAGCAACAACAGCTGAATCGGGAATAGTGAGTGGGCCAGTGTTGGGAAGTGGAAGTGTAAGTGTCAGAGTGTGGGGCAACTTCAGTGGTTTGTGTGCGCGTATGTTGCAGGCCGAAGAAAGTGAAATACGAAAATAGAAATAGAAATAGAAATATCCGTAGTGCAAGCACACAAGCGATTACATAAAGCCCAGCTATCATCCCGAACATCCAGCAACTGCAGCTATAGGAAAATAAACAACTGATGGCCAATGTTTAAAGGTAAAATCGAACATTCAAATGCGTCTGTGTGAGTGTGAGTGTGTGGAAACTACACAACCACAATGTCGTGGCCATAAATTAGCTCTTGATGTGCACTTAACTAGGCGGCCACACTTTCGCTTCGCTTCGTATCGCTTAGCTTCGTTCGCCGTCCTTTCGCACGAATAAGAGCAAAAAATTGGGGAAGGGGACCGAAGAGCCAAATTTGTAGCACAACTTTAGGGGCCAACTGGCAAAGCTCTGCCAGCCGCACTTTTATGGGCCAACTTTAAAACCAACCGCTGGTCACGCCCTGAAACCAGAAACAGTACCAGAAACAGAAACAGAAACAGAAACAGAGTTCCCCGCCCCAAGGGGAAGGCCCCGCCGTAAAATTGTAAGCCAACAACACATTGTTTAATGCCTCCAGCGCCGCTCTTATTGTTGTAATAAAAGTGTTTTTGCCGATTTGTGTGTGCTTGGTCCAGACCAGCAGATGCAGGCAAATCTCCTATGGCAGCCCAGCCTCCAGGCCTAATGGCACACCCCTACCAGCCACCTGACTGCCAGCGAATTTCCGCCAGCAAACATCAACTGCCATAACAGGAAGGTGGAAACTTGATATTGAATATTTTATGGGCGCCTTCATCTAACGCTTTTCCATTTTCGCTGCCAGTTGCCAGTTGCTTGCAGACGTGTCAAGAAGTTTGCGAGAAACACAACAGGAAGCACAGGCCTACACAAACTTGCACCCATACACATACTATATGAACAACAATGCTGGGAGCAGCAACAACAAAGCGCTGAGCAATGAGCAGCATCCTCATTCTCCTGCCACTCCCCTTTCCTTCACCTCCAACCCACTGCCCACGCAACCTCATTGCTTTTTGTTGGGCGCCATTTATCAATTCTTGTATCTTACTTTGTGTTGTTTGTGTTTCTGTGCAGGGAGATGCTAGATTGTGTGTGTGCCCATAATGTTAATTAACTTTATCTCGCTCAAGCTTTAAGACTTAAAGCGTCGCTCATTTCCCGGCTCTCGTCTCAATCGGCCTCCCTCTCGCAGGTGTTTATTTCTTCCGTTACGCACATTACACACACGTAAGACGAGTGAGTCGTTACGTTACATATAGGAACTGCACTAGGAAAAATGTGTTTATGAATTTCTGGCAGCCATTCAAACATTTAAGTTTTCTTATTTTGAGGAAGCCTTATATTCGAAGTAAAGCAAACTTCTTAAGTAAATAAAGTTTTAAGGGAAAACATATCATTTAAACTTTTTCTCCGAGTGTGCCCCATGTATCTTGGTGTGGGCGCCTTGAGCTGCCGAGGATTAGAGCGCTGCCAATTACCGTTACACGACACGACGCAGAGCAATTGCTGGCAGAGGCGATTTAATTTACTCGCATCCCCCACTTACATAAGCTTAAATCTCTCTCTACTCGCATTAATTTCTTTCCATCTTTTCCATCTACACAACAGACGCATCGCAAAATGTAAAGCAATAATCAACACAACAAAGCCAAAGCTCACAATAGAAGTAGACGAAGCTGAGGAACGGAGCTGGGGATACGATCTGAGGCGATGCCAAATGCCATTATTGGAAACTGTCGTAGTCATAAGATTTGCATAGCATAGCAATAGCAGTAGCAATAGCAATAGGCACAATGAAAGCCCCCAGCGTGATAAGCACTACGTCAACAGCAACAGCAACAGCAACAGCAATAGTAGATAATACTGCGCACAAAATGGTTAACAAAGGGAACGGTGACAATATTAACGGTAAACTGGCGATCCGCTCGCCTGAAAAGTGAGACAGACTTATGACTAGTGTTCGAAAATCGAGTGAGAAGCCAGCTAAGAGAGAGCAAGACCGAGACATGCAGCTGCCCTAAAGACCTCGACAAGGACGAAGGACCAACACCAACCAGAGGCAGCAGCAACAGCAGCGGCAACCAACCAAACGACGACAATCAGTCAAGATGAGTGATGATCAAACTGCGTCCAACGATGAGAAAGGTGAGTCCCCTAACCGCTAAGCCCTGCTGATACTGCTATTGATAGTTTTCCAAGCCACCCGGCCTCATAAATATTATTCTTGAGGTGTCCAGGGGGAGTTGGGGGTTAGACAATGGGGAGGCCATCAAATCTGTATTCGGGGGCATATGCATTGAAAGGCCAGGAGGGCAGGTGTCACGGGTAAGGAGCCCTGCCCTCCCTCCTCCCTACTGCTCCTCCGACATCCTGACAGCGACACCTGCACGCCACCCATCCGAAAGTCTGGCACAGTGGAACAAGTGTGGTTGGCATGACTTATATTGAAGCTATTATTGAGATTATGATGGGACTGCAAAGGGCTGGCAATCAAACTAGAACTTTAACCACTTTTTGTCAGCATTTCGAAATTTGGAATTGGTTTTTATTTAGCAGTTGTCTAGCTTGATTTATCTTTTTTTAAAATTGTTTGGTTTCTTAAACTCGTTAAAACAAAAATTTGCATTATTGGAAAATAATTATAAAGGCTTTCAAATTTATGAGCTCAAAAATGAACATCCATCAGGAGGTTATTGCCACACTCTGCTAGCCCACTTTTTCCTGGAGCCACCCACAGTGCGAGATAACGGAATGCCGGCAGAGGAGTGGCGAAGGCATTTGCTTTTTGTGCGTGTTGTGCGTTTTCCTGCCACTTCCCGGGCTCCTGTCCAGTCCTGCTCATCAACATAATTAAATAGCATTGCTCATTGTGTGCCCGGCGATTGCTTGGCCAGTTCTTGGGTCTGGGTCGGTTCTGCTGCTTGGCTGTTCTGGGTCTCGGCTTGGGTCTTGGCCAATAAAACGAGAATGGAATCGAAGCAGCTTAATGGCAGGGCAGGCCGGCCCTAAGGCCGTTTAAATAAATGATAAACAAATCGAAAATGGGAAGCGCTCTAGCGGGACGTAAAGTTTCGGCTGATGACTGGCCATAAGTTACGCAACCGTTTTGCAGGCGCCGATAGAGAGCGCAATTTGTCCTTTCGGTCGCCGAAGGGGGGAGTGGCTGTGGGCGGTGCGCGCCATTGTCAGCGGAGGATATTCATTGGGGAGGTGAACAATGCACAAAGGCCAGCCGGCGCTGCCAGCTGCGGATTACGAATATGAACGGAAACGGAAACTAATTAAATATGTAGAGCAATTGCTGCTGCATCTCGCTTTATCCTCCCGATTCACTTTTTCACTTTTGTTTGTCCCGCATCACTGCCGCTTGTGTTTCGGTTTCTCCTTCGGCTGTGGCTCCGGCTCTGGCCGGGGATGCCTTCCTCATCTCCTCGCCAGCCTCGAATTGGATTTGGTTTTGGGGCAGGGTCAGGAAGCGAGTGGAGAGCGCTGAATAGAAAGTGCCTCGTCTGCGAGGGGCGTAATTGGCCACCCCCTGCGCCACGCTCTTGGTCCCAGACCCTGTCCCAATCCCATTTCAATTTCCATTCCCATTCCCGTCACCATTGAACTTGTGTAAAGGTCTGCGCAGCTGCAACCGAAGCAGCAACGCCAATTGTAACTGCAACAATGGCTGCACTAAAAGAAAATTATGAAAATTAAGCCATAAAAAGGCAAACAATATAGTCAGAAGTTTATAAACAGTGGATCGCTATAACAGCACTTAAAAGTTTTCCCTCAACTTTACTTTACTTTCGCTCTTTAGAGAACTGTTTTTGAATTAATTATGACTTTCATGCTCAGTTTTTTCAGAATTAGAAGTTAATATTGAATTATAGCTTGAAGAAAAGCCACATTATTACTTCATTGGACAATGTTAAATTGCAGTTCCACAAATCACTTAGTTAGGCCGCTTTAATTTACTCCTAGTTTAGTGATAAAATGCAAGGCAGGGGGCTGTTATGGTGAGCCAACTAGAGAGTGGCGGTTACTTTAAATAACTTTTTATTAAAATAGCTGCATCATTTGAATGACCACGTTTCTCGCCGTGTGTGAATGCAACTGGTTTTTTGGGAAAACCACGACATTGCACGTTGCTAGTTGCTAGTTGCTTTTAAGTTTTCTGTGTCTGTATGCAATTTCCTTTTTGTTTTTGGGCGCTTTGAGAATGACTTTGCTTCCGCGTGAAGATGCGGCGGTAAGTCTGGGGATTTGAGTCGCGAGCCCGGGACGATTATGCAATACGGGGAAGATGTGCGTCTTTGTTGCATCTCATGTTAATGTGCGACCGCCAACCGGTTGCCCATCGTCATCGCCGTCATCATCGTCGGAGCTGAAGCAGCTTCATCATCGTGAGCATGGCCCTCACTGGCCAAAATACCACATGTAATCCCCATCGAGAGATGCTCTGATGGTATTGAAATGCAGCGCGAATGCCCCAGCTCTCCAGCTCACAGTTCGAACTTCATTCGCCTCAGCATCGTGATTATGATCGTCATTATGGTTTGATTGGCAACAGATTGTTGCGTTGGTGTCCCGCTCGCTGCCAGCTAGTTCCTTATGTAAGCCCGCTTTTGTTTACAATCCAAAACAGTTTAAATGTGTATTAATTATTCGGCAACGATGGAATCTGCCGAGCTACCAACCAGTCAGCTGCCCAGCTGCCCAGATGAGAAATGATAATCAGCGACGTAATCGAAATGGCCGGATGGCCCCGATTCCGATGAAAACTGCGGCCCACTTGCTGGCTCAGTCACTCAATGCTAATGAAAACTGTAGCTAATCAACGACGAATGCATAACGGAAGGGGCGCAAGGCGTGCTGGGCGGTGGGCGAGATGGTGGTGTTAGGTGGCCAATGGCCATGACCTCTCTCCGCTGGCAGTCCATTAGTCCGTCAGACGGACGTCTTGCTGATGTAAGAGCGCAACAAAACCCACGGCACGGTGCTTTTTGCCAATCTTGCAGCGCCGGAGCATGACAAGATATTTTTGATGCTGCTGCAGGCGAGGCTTAACCCAATAACGCTCGAGAGCCACTTTCCGAGCTGGCTCTCAAAAAGGAGAAGTTCCATGGGGCCACAGCCCACTGACCTGGCCCAATCTGAAGAACAGAACCTGTTCCGCTCGCCTGCCCGTCTGCCGCACTCTTCTGCGCTGCCAAACAACATTATCTGACTAATTTCCGGCACGGGAACGGGCTTCAATGGGTTAATGACTAACGACCCGACCAGCAGCCAATCCAGCCAACCCTTGGCCAATCGTTATGCAAGTCCGGACCAACAATAAGGAATTGCCAATAGGAAGTTCGACGTATCTGCATAAACATCCATAAACATGAACGTCAACAAAATACCTAACGGTTACAACCAGCATCGGCGATGTGATAAAGTGGCAATAACAACGAGCTCTGGGCCAAAACTGGAACTGGTCAAGTTGCATATTACCACAGTTTGGATTTCGATTTTAACCATTTTCGGCAGCTAGCCCACAAAGCTTAGGGCCACTCAGATTTTCTCTCAAACGAAAGTGGAGCACAGAAGGCAGCTCCTCGGGAGAGAGTGAGTGGGTGCACTGAGAGAATAAGTGTTTCCAAAGTAAAACTCGTTTTTAACCAGAAACTAATAGATTTCACCATGTACAAGTTAAAGCTATAAAAAATTTCTATTTTAATCAGGATAATCTAAAATACATAGTAAAACAAATTTGAAAATTCGTAAGAATTTCACTAAATTTGCTTGGCCGGATGAAAGCGATTTTAACTTGGTCTAATAAACCCGTTTTCCTATTCGTGCAAAATATTGTACTTCGAAGACGAAATGGGCCTAATACACCATGTTGCTTCCACCAAGACTAAATAAAGACACGCCGAAAATGTTTTCGCTCACATAAAAAATAAATCTCCTCAGCACTTCTCCCAGTGTATGAGTGAGGGAGAGAGTAGAGTTTGCAAAGGGCACATGCTGGGGATGATGTGAAAGGTCAACACTCTTGCGATCTGCAGAAAGGGAGAGTGGGGACCAGACGCCGGAGAGAAAAAGCAAAACGAAGACGCGGCCATGTGGCCTTCATTGGGTCGCGGTCGTGGAGCTCCAGTGGTCGTGGAGCTCCACTTCATTCAGTTCGTCGCCGTCGAAAGAGATTATCTCTGCACTTGCTCGACGGCGTCGCGATCGCTTATGTAACCACATAGCTCCCGAGTGGAGAAGAGGGCTATAAAACGGCGTGCGGCCACGGTTGCCGAATCATTTCCAGTCGGTCCAGAGACGAGATATCATCAGAGTGTCCTTGGCAACGAATCCAGAGAAATGGCAGCCCGTTTTATAGTGAGTTTCTAGTCGCAGCGCTTCAGTTCCGTTGGATCTTAACTTATATTCCCTCCTCCCAATCCCAGATCAGTGCACTTTTGCTGGCCACTCCGGCTGTTTGGGGCAAGCCCACTTTTGGACGCGAGCATGTCCACATCCGTATCCACCTACCTGAAAGCGGTGGTGATCATGGCGATCATGGCGGCCACGGAGGCGGTGATTTTGGAGGCCATGGAGGCGGTGGCTACGAAATTCACTCCCATGATGGGGGCTACAGTGGCGGAGGAGGAGGCGGTGGTCATGTGAATACCTACGCCGTCATTACCGAGAACCATGGATACAGCGGTGGCGGTGGAGGAGGCCACGGCTCCGGCGGTTATAGCTCCGGCGGTTACAGCTCCGGAGGCTACAGTTCCGGTCACGATGATGCCAAGATTGCAGCCATCGCAGCTGCTGCTGGTTCGTCCTCCGATCACGGACATGGCCACGGTGGCAACGGAGGAGATTACGGTGGCCATGCCATCGCCAACATTGCAGCTATCGCAGCTAGCTCGGACTCCTCTGCCCACGGTGGTAGCGGCGGATACGGAGGTTACAGTGGTGGCGGACACAGCGGCGGAGGACATGACACCCAAGTAATTGTCGCAGCTGCCGCTGCAGGTGATTCCCACGGCTCTTCCGGTGGATACAGCGGTGGTTCTTCGGGCGGATACAGCGGGGGCTCCTCTGGCGGATACAGTGGTGGCTATTCCGGTGGCTCCTCGTACAGCGGCGGCTCCTCCTACTCAGGAGGCTCCTCCTACAGCTCCGGAGGATACAGCGGTGGACATGGCGGTGGCTACAGCAGCGGCGGAGGATCCAGCTACGACACTCAGGTGGTAGCTGCCGCAGCTGCATCTGGCAGCGGTGGTTCCTACGGCGGATCTTCCGGTGGAGGCGGTGACGGATACAGCTACTCGGCGCCAGCTTCTGGCGGCTGGGCAGGATCCAGCTCCAACTGGAAATAGGCGGCAATGTCCGACCTAGGCCATCTGGTCGTCTAGTCTACTGCTCACGCCCCACAGCTCACTCCATCCACGGAACTTTTAACTTATATACGACTCGTTCGCTCATCCATATTCCACACATCCTCACACGATGCTGATGTACAAAATAAACCATGTTAGTGTAATAATTTAAACAAGGCTCCTGAAATTGGCGGGATTTACCTGGGATTCACCTTTAGAGCTCCAAAACGAAATGAGAACTACGATTTCAGATGCTTTTGCCGACTTTTTGGCTTCGGCTCTTCGGCCTCCTTCATGGGGCCTATGAAGTGGCGCTTGAACATGTCGTAGATGGAGAAGTAAACGGAGCTCATCAGCCCCGCCTTGAACAGGGTCGGCGCCATACCCTTGTAAAAGCCACTCAATCCTTCCACCCGAAAGGTGGTCAATATGCAGCCTAGAACCGTTGGACACTCAGGGTTTCGGCCAAAGGACTTGCGCTCCTGCTTAAAGTCCATAAGCTGGATGCGTTTCTTGAGCAGGTCCGCCGGGTAAACAATCATTTTGGCGATAACCCCCGACAACGCCCCATTAAGGAAAAGGAAGCCGGCATGTATCTCCTGGCGCTGCTCAGGCGGCTTGGCCATAAGCACCAGGGCGTTCAGGTACTTGTAGAAGAGAAAGTTGGACCCCACCAGCGGGAAGACCTGCACTAGAGTGAAGGGTAATCCCCGTGAGAGGCCCGCCAAGCCCTCCTTCTTGTAGACCCCTCGCAGTAGACTCATGGTGCTCATCCGGCTTCTGTGGGAGGAGGGGTCGGCCGCTACCATCTGAGTCCGCACTACGTCGAAAGGCTGGGCCGCTACCGCTCCCATACATCCGGCTACACCGCCGCACATAAAGAACATAAGGAGAGGACGCTCGTTCCAGAAATCCCGCTGGTGGGCCATGGAGCGGAGCTGTTCGTAGGACCAGAACTGCACCAGGGCGTACGAGATACTCAGAACCTGTCCGGAATTGTGGCCGCGAAACATGCCTCGCATGCCCTCCTCTGCGTACACCGACTTGAAGGCGTGGATGATGCCTCTGTACTTTGAGTCTATGTGGTTAGTGAGCGGTTCAACCTGCATCTGGAAACGGATCTTCAGAACGTCCAACGGCTGGGTGATGGTGCGCGAAACAGCTCCGGCGATTCCGCCACCAATGGCCTGCATTAGTTGGATTTGAAAAGAGTTTTCGGGCATCGGATGTAGGATCTAGGCGTAGGTGGGATGGGCTTCGCTCCGGAGACGGGCTCCTTAGCGCAGTAGGAGCTATTCAGGGCACGGTTAACGGCAAGGTGGTGTGTTGTCATTTCGCGAGCTAAATTTTCTGCTACTTTAAAAAACCAACTAGGCTTCGATTAAGTGTGTATCCATCACTAAGATTCTGTTCAATTTTATGGGCCAAAAGTTACAAAATGTTCTGACGTTAATATAAAAGATATCACAGTGGAAGAAATTAAATTACTCTAGCTTAGGAAATTATCGTTAATTAAGTTGAATGTTATATGAGAAATTTTCGATATTGTTGTAGTTTATACACTACTTTAATTAGTTACTTATTTTCATTTAAGTCTGATAATTTTGATATGGATACCACCCCTAATCAGTCCGGTCGATTTCAGCTGTCGCCAAACACCAGGTCGTTGCGTATACGCAGAGGTCGCAGGTCAAGCACGAGAACCGGCACATCCAACTGGTGCGGGAGTATGGCTTCCATCCGCGCACCAAGGCCTCCGTGGAGGACGGCGACGTGCTGCCCCGCAAGTTCGAGCCCTTTCCGGAGCACATGTACGGCAAGCCGTTGGAGGAGATTGACACCTTCATCTACGAGGAGGTGAGTACTGCCCCGCTCGTTCATTATCCGCGTCCTCACCCCAGTTGGCCGCCCATTGGCTCTAATTAAAAAGTCACACGGACGCGACCCAGTCCCCCGATTCCGGATTCCTGTGGCAGGCGGGAGGGACACGGTGAATGCGAGAGGCGGAAATGGAACGCGGCCCGGGCTGTTGCTGCTTTTGTTTTGATAGCTCCGTTTCGCTGCACTTGCACCATTGTGGGCACAAGTGGAAGTGCACTTTGGCGGCAGGGAAACCGAGGTTAATGGAAACGCCTAGAACGGCCCTCGTGGGCCCTCGAAATCCGAAAAGGAAATCAGCGTAAATGCCGCGCGCTCGTTAAATTTCAAAGGCGGGAATAAATTTTGGAACTACATCAAACAAAGGACACACAATTGCGCACACGTTGGCCGCCGAGTACCGAGTGTGTTTGTGCCCGCTCGGTGCTGGAAATATGGGTCATGTCATGCTCAGGGCTCCGGGCAGCAAAGTTGACAACCGTATTTACGTGACTCAAACAAACTGGCCGGAGTCGCTGCCGCAGCAGCCGCAGAGGACAAATTATAGGCGAACATGCAAGTGTACTCAAGACTTGGCGGCTTTCGAGCCACGTGTCGTGGCAAATAATTCCGGATAGCGGCCCGGGCCGGACTGGATTGGGCTGAATAAACATGCAAGTGACCGGCCGACACAGGGCCTGCAATATAATGGGAGTTACGGGGAGAGATGAGATGAACGTACCTGTGACGCCGAATGATGTGTTTATCGATCGACTGAATATCCCACTAAGTCCAAGACAAACACAGTCCGGCAATCTATAATTAAATCTTATTGGCCAGAGGCTTGCAGTCAGGAAAAATCCTGATGCGAGTATCGTGGCAGTTTCTGGGTCACTGTGACTCCTGCCAAGGGTGCTGCAATGTTGTCCCACATTCTATAATTAAATCCTGAGAATGGTAAGGCAGTGGGGAAACAAATGACCCTTTTCCGGGTAATGGCCCGTCTCGCTCATCTCACATGGCTAGTCTTTTTAGCAGAGACCACACAACTCTGATTAAATCTACTAAACCGAGTCCAGCCAATCCAGAAATCAACAAAGTACCACAACAAAATCCTTGTGTAAACTGCGATACGCAAAACACGAAATCAACTTCAGTTCTGTGTCTACCAAGCTTATTATTGTATAGTATGGGATATACGAGAAGGTTAAGAAGTTACAAGTTGGTCCCTTTAGCTGCTCTTCTTTGTTAGTCTCCCGAACAGAAATCCAACTACTGGTAATAACTTTTCTTGACTAGAGCCTGAGGAGCTTTGGCAAAAAAGCTATTTTCTTCAGAGTAAGATTTCAATTTGGCAGACCAAGTCGGCGACTCCCTTTCGAATCACTTACTGCTCAGCTCCGATGAAAATTGGTCTGCCAAGCTCTCAAACAGCCGTTGCAGGTGGGAAATCAAAGTGCTTAATTGCATTTAATGGTCCTATATTGGCAAACAGGGCCCGTGTGCTCCCCGCCAACGACGTGATAAGACACAGACGCCGCATGTTTGTCCGGAATCCCGACAAGGTCCTACACAACTTTTCATTTCGGGCACTTAAAAGTACACACGCTTATCCTTAAGCGCTCTGCTTTCCACTTGCCTTGCCACAATCTCCAACCACATTTCGGGAATGGGATTGGGAAGACATGCAAATTTACAGCCAAGCAAAGCCCACAAAGTGGTAAATGGCAAACTGCCACCCAATCGTAATTTTTGCTTGTTACATTAAAATTTCTGCTTACTCGGCTGAGCGACGTTTATGTGTGTATTACAGTGACAAACGACCTTCAGACAAGTGGGCAGAACGGGGGGCTGACTAAGACTGGTTCAGCCGAAACACCATCCTTGGCAGGCACATCTGCATATATAATTGAAGAAATCAGGGCGCTAATGAACAACTTAGTTCGGCCCGGGCAGCTGCCTTACGTTTAGTTACAGTGTTGGTTGCGCTGGTTGCTCCCCTCCGGTGGCAAACAAATCGATATTCCGAATATGGCCAGGGAGCAGGAGCGGAACGGCATGACGAGCGCAGGACACGCGCTCCCTGGGTGCTGGAGGCAGTGGAGCACCACAGCAGCAGTCCCCTTGTCCGACTGCGCCTTGAATAATCGTATTAGCCGATTTGCCGGGAATTTATTGCCCTACCTCGAGGTGTTTAATGTTTAATGGGGACTTGCAAATCAGCATATCCAATCTGCCGGCTGCCCGATAGATAAGCATCCATCTCCACAACACCCTGCAAGTGGTTTCAAATCTAGAATCTGAATAGCAGAAATACTTTCGGCAAAACGTGCTCTCACGCTCACGCACATATAGACACACGATTCGCGAATGTGGTTATGTCGAAAGAGCACGCTTGCCATTTTCTCTTTGCTCTCTTTCACTCTCATTAACAACACATGCTTTTTCTCGTGGAACCTTGGCGAAAATCCAGTAATTTATTAGAATCAATTTTTACGAGAAATGGAAACGTGAATTTTAAATGCACATGTACGTTTGTGTGAAAACTGGTTTTTCAAAATTACTTCTGGGCCCTTTTTAGGGTGACCCAATCGGCGTTTTTCGTGTCAGAGTGTTGGCATCAATCAATGGTTCCTGGAAAAGAAAAGAAAATACGAATTAGAACCTTGCGTGTGGCGGATGGTTGGGAAAGGGTGCTCCCGGGGGCAGCGGTCGGCAGATGAACTCACCATTTAGTGGGCGATGGCGCTGCGATTACTTGGACCTTGCACGCATCTTCCTGCGTTTACGCTTCAACCTACGCATACGCTTCTTACGCCACTGCAATCGAAAGAAAAACACTGTTATTGCGATTCACCAAGACGGAGACGGATCGATTCACTATATTTCGGGGGTCACTTCACTTTTCAGAACTACTTTTACCTTAGCTCTCATTTTCCTTCTGGTCTGGACGACGGTTTGAGAACGAAAGAACGAATATAAAACGGAAGTCGGCGTGCTAGCCTCGCATGGCAGATGACAGCTCGCCGCAGGGTTGCTTACTTGCGATAGTCTGCCTATCGATAGTTGCGATGCCACTTGGTCACTTGTGCCAGCTGTTAGCCCTGCCATTTTGTTCAAGATTAATCTAATATAATATCGTGTTCATCCGGATAATACGTTTAAATTATACATTTTCATTAAATGGCAATAAGCCAAGGCACAGAATTAATCAGATTTGAAAAGAGCCCTCATCAGGCGGACTGCCTTTTCGCTTGACTGTTTGGCCGACTCTCCTCGCAACAGCACCCTGTACTGAGCCCGCTCTTTTTGAATTGCAGACCTTCTGCGTGGTGTCCAAGCGATTCCGGAAGAACTACATCCACCGCTTCACGGGCACCAAAAGCCTGTTCCTCTTTTATCCATGGAGTCCGGCGCGTCGAGTATGCGTCTACATCGCCACCAACCAGTTCTTCGACTACTGCGTCATGGCAACCATCTTGTTCAACTGCATCTTCCTGGCCATGACGGAGACCGTGGAGGAGGCGGAGTACATTTTCCTAGCCATCTACTCCATCGAAATGGTCATCAAGATCATCGCCAAGGGCTTTCTGCTCAACAAGTATACGTATCTACGCAACCCATGGAACTGGCTGGATTTCGTGGTCATTACCAGCGGCTACGCCACCATTGGCATGGAGGTTGGCAACCTGGCGGGGCTGCGCACATTCCGCGTGCTGCGCGCCCTCAAGACGGTGTCCATTATGCCCGGATTGAAGACGATCATCAACGCGTTGCTGCACTCCTTCCGCCAGTTGGCGGAGGTCATGACCCTGACCATCTTCTGTCTGATGGTCTTTGCGCTCTTTGCCCTCCAGGTCTACATGGGCGAGTTGCGAAACAAGTGCGTGCGTCAGGTTCCCACCGACTGGACGAACGTCTCGCACGTCGACTGGCAGATGTAAGTGATGGTAGCAGATTCTTAAGTTTCAGAGGGGTTAGCTAATCGGGTTTTATTTTCAGCTGGGTTAACGACACCGACAACTGGCTGTATGATGAGGATGAACTGCCCGTGCTGTGTGGCAACCTGACTGGAGCCCGCCACTGCCCCTTTGAGTACGTCTGCCTCTGCGTGGGTGAGAATCCCAATCATGGCTATACCAACTTTGACAACTTTATGTGGTCTATGCTGACAACATTCCAGCTAATTACACTGGACTATTGGGAGAACGTGTACAACATGGTGGGTGTTCAAAAGTGCTTGCTCAAAAGAGAGTCTAATGAAGTGTTTCTCCTAGGTACTGGCCACCTGTGGCCCTATGAGTGTATCATTCTTCACGGTGGTGGTCTTCTTTGGCTCGTTCTACCTGATCAACTTGATGTTGGCCGTAGTGGCGTTGAGTTACGAAGAGGAGGCAGAAATTACGAATGAGGTAAATTGCTAAGTTCCTTCTTGTATGTACATCACCAACCTTTCGATGCCAAATAGGAACGCAAAAAGGATCTTCTGGACCATCGGGACGACTCCACGTTTAGCTTCGATCCGTCAGTGCTGAACGTGAAGAAACTGAACAAAAATAATAAGAAGAAGATCGACTCACGGAAAGGTGTGCTGCTGGCTTCGTATAGCAAGAAGAAAACACGTCGAAAAAAGGCGAAGGGCGGCAAAGAAGGCGACACCAATGGCAACGGAAATGGAAGCAACGGCAACGATCTCAAATCTCACTCGGCCACGCCTAGTCCGGGGCCAAGCCCACGGCACAGCGCCACGGAACGCCCATCGGCGCTTACTCTGCACGCTCAGAAACAGTACCAGCAAATGGAACAACAGCACCAGCTGGCCAAAGCCAACATTGGCGACAGCACCACTGCCACTGCTCCTGCGCCAAAGGGGCGCATTAGCTTCCAGGAGACTAGCGTGGGAGTAAAAAACCCAAACATGCTATATCCCTCGGACTACAAGGGGCAGCTCATCGCCAGCAGCAGGCAGGCGAGCTCAAACTCCAGCGGCGTAAATCGCGAGTCCTCACAGGACGACTCCGGTGTGGTAGACGATCACGAGGATCAGGAAACAACCAACGAGTTGGGCCACGTTTCCACCGTGGAGCTGGCTCTCTCCCCACGCGAAGTGCGCCTCATCAAATGCAATGGGAATATAGCTCGCATAAAGAATCACAATGTGTATGCCTTGCACCAGGAATTCTCTTCAGAGGTGGTCGTGATCGGTGAGTGAAGAAGACTTTACTTGGATAAACATTTTATGTGACGGTATGACCACTTCCAGATGACCTGCCTGACCGGAACTGCGATCGTTGTGTTCACTGGTGCTCCGACTACGAGAGCTGGTTACAGTTCCAAAATTGCCTTTATAAAGTTGTACGAGATCCTCTATTCGAGCTTGCCATCACCCTTTGCATCGTGCTAAACACCGCCTTCTTGGCCATGGAGCACCATGGGATGAGTGAGAGTTTTCGCAATGCCCTGGATGTGGGAAACAAGGTAAGATTAATGCTTTCTCCCACTGTATTGACTTCATATTACCATTTACCTCACAGGTCTTTACGTCCATTTTCACCTTTGAGTGCATCGTGAAACTAATGGCGTTGTCCAAGGACTTTTTTCTGTGTGGGTGGAACATCTTCGACCTGCTCATCGTCACTGCGAGCTTGCTGGACATCATATTTGAGCTGGTCGATGGCTTGAGTGTATTACGAGGCCTGCGATTGGTAACAAGCAGTAATCTATTTCGAAGATACCTAGTTCCATTATTGTATATTTCAGCTGAGGGTATTGAAACTAGCTCAATCGTGGACTACAATGAAGGTTCTGCTAAGCATTATAATCTCAACGATAGGCGCCCTCGGCAACCTAACGCTGATCTTGGTCATAGTCATCTACATTTTCGCTGTCATCGGCATGCAGTTGTTCTCCAAAGACTATACGCCCGAGAAGTTTGATCCGGACCCAGTGCCAAGGCAAGACAAGTTCAAAGTTTATCCAAGTTTAAAATGTAATTTGGTATTTTCCTGGAACAGATGGAATTTCAACGACTTCTTTCACTCGTTTATGATGATCTTTCGCATTCTGTGCGGCGAATGGATCGAGCCACTTTGGGATTGCATGCGTGCTGAAGAAGAGGTTTGGTTTCCAGGAGGTGATAAATCTGATTTATTTACTGATTTTCCACATATTTTGCAGCAAGGAGCCTCAACCTGCTTTGCCATTTTTCTGCCGACTCTCGTGATGGGAAACTTTATGGTGCTCAACTTGTTCTTGGCCTTGTTGCTCAACAGCTTTAACTCTGAGGAGCTGAAGTCAAAAAAAGAGGCAAGTCAGATGCTCTGATTGGTCATATTGCAATTTCAGTTTCATAACGTTCGTGAATGTATATGTCTTTATGTCTATGTGTGTGCCAACACGGCACTTAAACAACCGAACAACTAAATCCGAATAGCTCCAAAATCGACCGGGAGATACTTCTCTCTCCGTGTCCTAAAACGATCCCCTAAAATGGTTAAGACGATCGGTTAGATCGATTTCTAAGTGTTTGGTATGAATTTGTCTTGCACCTTGATGTGGTTTACGGTATTTGTGTGTCTCTGAGTGTGAGATCTTAGCTTCATCCTGATCGCGCAATGACACCCTTCCCAATTGAAGTACCAGTTGAATTATACACCATACGATCTGTGGCACTCTTCTTTTTCCACAAGCAAAATCGATTATCATTTTCATGTTTCTAAAGCCCCTCTAAATTCCATCGCTCTATGCATTGTGTTACTACTAACTGTGCTAAATGTTTATACTTAACTAAAACTATAATAACCTCACCCAGGACACGAGCTCAAGAGCCTTTTCGGCCACCTTTTCCTGGGTTCTTCAGATCGGATCGCTCCGAAATCTGTTTCTATGGGGTTTGTTCTGAGGACAATAATATCCATTTAAACCGCATCCAATTCGAACCCAGAACAGACCTTATGAAGATTGTTGTTTATTGTTTAAGTCTTATGTAGGTCTACATGTAAAAACAATCTCTAAAATGCACTTAAGCGTATTCCAATTAACCAAATTTCTGTCGTCAACTCTGCACAATGCGTTTTAAATCTTAACTTGCCACACAAAACACTAAACACGAACATTAAACACAATCTTAAACTGATAACCCAAACAAAAAACTTACAATTTAAATACACTGAAAACGTTAAACAGATTTTCAAGAAGAAGGTAATTTTTCCAGATAAACCGTTCTTACTTGCTTTAAACTTGCTTGCCTCGTTTGCGTTAACCAATCCATATCTAAATCCAGACATACTGTATGTGTAAATACTTATATATAGAGTAGTCAAATGTTGATCAGGCTTTAAATGTACGTTTTAACCTTTTATGTTGCCTGCCCTTAGCGTAAATCGTGTTCAGTTCTGTATGCATTGGATCCCTAATCGTATAATGTCAATATCGATGTCTATTCAAAAAGAAACTTGTAGCGAACTCTTCAGTTGAGTTTCCCCTCGTCTTCGCAGTTTTCTAATCCTGTGCAATTTCTGTCCCAAATAGGAAGTGGGCGAGGAGTCAAAGTTAGCGAGGAGCATCGAACGGGTGCGTGACCTGATTCGCAAGAAACGGCAGGAGCGGAAGGATCGTAAAGAGCGTAAGTTCGCAGAGAAGTTTCAGCAGATCGTACTGGATGCTCAGCAGGCGCACGCTCAGACTCAGTCCCAGCAGGCTGCAGTGGGTCTGGAAAGGGGCGACAAAACGAATGCGTTGGCCGAAACCAAATTCCACAGACTGAGCTATCAGGTAGGTTTTACATTAGGATTTTGACCACACAATTCTATTAATCTATCTTTCTCCATCAGGAGTCTATGAATCGGCCCGTCTCAGGCTCCGATTTCGGCTTCCAGATCCCCCTACACGACGGCTTACATACGATAGTCGATGGTCTCGAATATGATGAAACGAGAGACTTGCCAGAACAAATCCAACTGCAAGCGCATCCACTGCCACCTACTTCAGACTCGCTGCCACCTACCTACGAGAGCGCTATGATGGCCGCCGCAGCCGCCGCCTTTCCGTCCGTCAATGGAAATGGCAACGGGAACGGGAACGGTCAAAATTTGACGCCGTTTGCCCAAACAGAGCGCCGGCTGCAGCACCAAATCTCTTCGGGAGTGAGTACCCAGCAGAATGACTCACGAGACGAGGCCACCTACACGGAGTCTATCGAGCTGCGCCTGCTAGGTCAATACAACTCCACGGACACGGATCCGTATGCTAACGATCAGCGGAGTGGGTGTGGCTCCTTCAACCGCGGTGACTCGCTGCAGGATAATTCCTCGCGGCGTTACGGGAGCGAAGAGCACGACGAGGCCTACCTCAAGTATCAGAAGTCCTTGCTGACTCGGTCACCAAGCTACCGAAAGTCACTAGATCGCCTGTCCCAATCTAGTGGTCAATCGCAGCGATCATTGCTCAAATCGGAGGAGGCCGAGATGCGACGACACTCAAGCGGCCAGTCCCTGAACTCCATCTCAATTGAACAGGATGAACTGCTGTCTCAGCAGGGAAACCTTCGCGAAGAACTGCTCAACTGCGATCAAAAGGAACTCTTTCAGTTCTTGCAGGAGGATGACGAGATGCAGAAGGGGACCAACCTGAACCGCATCTCAAATGCAATGAGATCGCGTCGTCCTTCCAGTCAGATGGGACAGGCGGAGTGCGAGGCACTCGTAGAACACTCTGAGTTTGACAATATTATCCAGAGCTTCGAGAAGGAATTGGAGGAGATCAAGCGCTCAACGACATCGTTGGAGCGCAAGCTTTCCAACCTATCAGAACCCTCGCCGGCCGCCGATGAAGCTACAAAAGCCATTATGGAGCACATAGCTATCATCACTGGTGCCTCGGAGCGCTCAGCCGCCGACGAGGTGGTGCACCCATTGAATCCCTATGACAGTTACGACTTGTCAAGCGTGCCACGACGTTCCCATTCCGTTAGCTCAGCCGCTCAACGCCAGTCCGTAAAACTGAAACGGCGCAGCCTGGAAAAGCAACGCAAGATCGACGAGGACTTCAGCATCTCGAATGAGATACGCAAAATATGTGATCAAATCCACGCCCCCTTCGTCGCCATGGAAGCTATGGCGGTGGCAGCCACCAACGCCAGCCAGGCGACCCAGCCCAATCAATCACCTTTCCTCAGGCGCAAGATTGATCCCTTCACCGTTCAGTTCGACCGCTTCAAGCGCCTCTCCTTGATCGAACGCGTGGAGGAGCTACCGGAGGACGAAAAGCCCATATCGACACTGCGCATCGAATCGGAGAAAATGCCTCGCAAGTTTCTCCATGACCAATTGCAACTGGATAGCCTCTCGCTAAAGAGCACAAACTCGTACGAAAACCTCCTGATCCAGAAGCAGAAGCTTGGAATGGCCACTCCTCCCGCCGTTCCCGCCACTCCGCCCACCTCTTTGAAATCGAGCATCGAGCCACCGACACTGGCGCAAATTTCATCGCTAAAGACCACCCCGCCGCTGGCTGCTCTAACCGAGCACCAGCAGCACTTTCATGCTACGAGCATCCAAGCAGCACCCACTCACGGCCACGCCCACGCCCATGCCCATGCCCATGCTGGGCCGCGGCGGCGCCCGGAGCATCCACAATCGACGCTAGACAAAGCCGCATCCTTCCAGTCCGCTCGCACCGAGTCGCACAGCTCGGGAGCGGCCGACACGAGCTCGGCCCTTGCCCTGGCCATGGCCCATAAGACTGAGCAGTCGAAGTCGGCGGCGCCAGAAGCTACTCAAAAGCCGTCGGCATTCACGCGACTGACCGAAAAACCATGGCATTGTTTGGTTTCCTACGTAGACGATCTCACTGTCGGTGGGAGACGTAACTCGCAGGGAGCTTACAATGATCCCATGACTTTTCCGAGCTACGGAGCCACGAAGGCGCCTAAGGTGCCCGACGACTGTTTCCCCCAGAAGTGCTACGATCAGTAAGTATGGCCCTGGAACCCTCTTGAACTTCATAATTGTGACTCCCTTTCAGCTTCTACTTCCGCTGCCCCTGGTTCATGAGCTGTATGGACACGCAGAGCGCCAAGCACTGGACGCGCGTGAGGACGGCTGTCTTGACGGTTGTCGATACTCCGGCCTTTGAGTGGTTTGTGTTGGTGCTGATCTTTGCGTCAAGTATCACGCTCTGCTTCGAGGACATCAACCTGGACAAGAACAAGACGCTGAAGCGCGTACTGTACTGGATCAACTTCTCCTTCTGCTTAATATTCGTCGTGGAGATGATTCTCAAGTGGCTGGCCCTGGGCTTCTCCAAGTATTTTACCAGCTTTTGGACCATACTCGACTTCATCATAGTGTTTGTAAGTGATATTCTCCAATAGATATCGTGGGGAGACTTTGAAACCGAGTTGTTTTTCTCAAGGTATCGGTTTTCTCGCTGCTCATCGAGGAAAATGAGAACCTGAAGGTCCTGCGCTCACTGCGCACTCTACGAGCCTTGCGCCCCCTGAGAGCCATCTCTCGGTAAGTCGACCAGTCACTGGTCTCTCGATAGGCTGCACTACAACCTTCTGAAACATCCGAGCATCCGGTGGAGAAAGCTCTCTGCGTAGGAACTTCCGCCTCTACTTCTAATTCTTCCGCTATCACTACTGATCTTATACGTCTTTTTCCGGGGAGGATTATGTCAGACCGAGCGATGCGATCCAAGCCGTGTGCAGTGTTTAATACAATCTCGTCTTCTTTATGAATTTCGAATAGAAATACGTACTCGTAGAACACGCATTGCATCGTCCTCGCCTCCGTCCTTATCCTCGATCTTAAATCTGTGTAGCCTGTAGCTGAAGTCTGTGCTCTTGTAATATCTGTATATAGTAGATACTCCATATGTATATATATATATATATCGTAAGCTAGCTAAATAGTTGACTAAGCCGACGAAATCCACTCCGCAGTCCATTCATCCACTTGTATCCGTACCTACCTGACAACGACCTCTTAGCACTTCCCCGGCACAGTTGAGACGACCTGCGTCCATCCCGTAATGATAGCATTTCATTCGTCCATTTCTATTCCAGGTGGCAAGGAATGCGGATTGTAGTAAACGCTCTCATGTATGCAATACCATCAATTTTCAATGTACTTTTGGTTTGTTTGGTTTTTTGGTTGATCTTCTCAATAATGGGTGTTCAGTTCTTTGGTGGTAAATTTTTCAAATGCGTCAATGAGATGGGCGAGTTGCTGCCGATTACTGTAAGTACTTTAGGAGGAGATGCGGATGCAGCTTCTCTTCCACTCCTGGAACTTTACCAATCTGTATGTATTGCAGGAGGTGAACGACAAGTGGGACTGCATCGAGCAGAACTACACATGGATCAACTCCAAGATCACCTTCGACCATGTGGGCATGGGCTACCTGGCCCTGCTGCAAGTTGCCACCTTCGAGGGCTGGATGGAGGTAATGGCCGATGCTGTCGACGCACGCGGAGTGGACCTGCAACCGCAACGAGAAGCCAACCTTTATGCGTATATTTATTTTGTTATATTTATTGTGTGCGGATCGTTCTTCACACTCAATCTGTTCATTGGAGTTATCATTGATAACTTCAACATGCTCAAGAAAAAGGTAAGTCCATTGGCCTATGCTCCTGCCCTGGTCAGCCTCTCTGCATCCACACGTGAATCACCTGTACATACGCTAACCACCTCCATCGATCCATCTGATTTGTATTGCCGCATTTCGTTCCAACCGTCGTCATTATGTGTACCTCTAACCGTGTTATTGTGTTGTAATCTTGTGAAGAGTTCTCCATAGAAAACGTTTAGCATATCGCTTAGTGTGTTACATAACCGTGAATTGTATATATATAATTAAATGTTCATTCTATTCTCATCACTTTTATAGTATGAAGGAGGAGTGTTGGAAATGTTTCTCACCGAATCTCAAAAACACTATTACACGGCTATGAAAAAATTGGGACGAAAGAAACCACAGAAAGTTATTAAGCGACCTATAAATCATTTTTTAGCTATGTTTTATGATTTATCCAATTCGAGAAGGTAAACAAACCCGTCAATCAACCCCTCAATCAAGCAATCTAAGACCTGAAAATTACGTATATCTACTTATAGTTTGTACTTACTATTAGTCCTACCCTGTCTCCTCTGAATCTAACTAACTCTCTTTACTACCTCGTATGCTACGCGTAGTTGTCTCGGCTAGGTCCACTACACAACTAAAGAATGTTTCTGATTTGGTGATAAAATTCATTTGAACACTTGTAATTCCCGGCATTTTTGGCCAGATCCGGTGCTTGTCACAAGCAAACACCGCCAAAAATGCCTCTATCTTCTGTACTCTGTATTCTGTATTCTGTTCTATATCCAAATGCATTCTTCTTGAAGTTTTGTAGAGCACATTTTGCCATGATACTTGACTACTGATATGAATTAGCTATTATCCGGAATATCGGACCTTCCGCACTCTGGGCATGTTCTATCTATGGGATTTGTACCTATCCTTTGGCCGATCGAGCCATCCCCTAAAGAACTCACCCCCTGTGTGTACCACCAGCATGTATATAAATAGTTAGATTAGACTTAGTTTACTTTATAAATCTATATATAAATAGTGCTCCTCCCAATGCCTGTACATACTGCCCTACTTTCAGAATTTCCTAGGAGCACCTCACCTTCGGTCATACCGAAGTTTACTAATATATGCAGATCTCTAATCAAATCTCCTTTCGTGATGTGCAGGTTCGAGATCGCGATCTTTGTACTGATTTTTCTCAATATGCTTACCATGGGCATCGAGCACTACGATCAACCGCATGCTGTTTTCTTCATTTTGGAAGTGAGCAATGCCTTCTTCACCACCGTGTTTGGTCTGGGTAGGTGGTTGGAACTGGTCCCATTCCTGGCTATCGCACAGATTCATATTTTCCTCTACCTGCAGAAGCCATTGTAAAAATCGTCGGCCTACGCTACCACTACTTTACGGTGCCGTGGAATGTATTCGACTTCCTGTTGGTGCTCGCCTCCATCTTCGGTATCCTGATGGAGGATATCATGATAGACCTGCCCATTAGTCCAACATTGCTGCGCGTGGTCAGAGTCTTTCGCATCGGGCGTATCCTGAGGCTTATTAAGGCCGCCAAGGGCATCAGGAAGCTGCTGTTCGCACTCGTTGTATCGCTGCCTGCCCTCTTCAATATTGGAGCCCTACTGGGACTGATTACCTTTATCTACGCTATCCTGGGAATGTCGCTATTCGGACACGTGAAACTCCAAGGCGCCCTCGACGACATGGTGAACTTCCAGACTTTCGGGCGCAGCATGCAGTTGCTGTTCCGGTTGATGACCTCGGCCGGATGGAACGACGTCCTCGAGTCCCTGATGATCCAGCCGCCCGACTGCGACCCCTTCATTCACGGGCAGACAAACGGCAACTGCGGTCACCCGCTGCTAGCTATCACCTACTTTACGAGCTTCATTATCATTAGCTATATGATTGTGATAAACATGTACATTGCCATTATCCTGGAGAACTTCAACCAGGCACACCAGGAGGAGGAGATCGGCATTGTAGAAGACGATCTGGAAATGTTTTACATTCGCTGGTCCAAGTAGGTGTAGTCTCCCTCGCAGTAGGCCTAGCCGTAGGATCTCTCCAATAACTGCCTGGCAAACTATGTAAAGACATCTGCTGACTATTCAAACTGATTTATTTGCAGATACGATCCACATGCCACCCAATTTATACACTTCTCGCAACTGTCCGATTTTATTGCCTCTCTCGATCCACCATTGGGCATCTCGAAGCCCAATAATGTCGCTTTAGTGTCATTTAATCTGCCCATTTCAAAGGGCAATAAAATACACTGTCTCGACATTTTGCACGCGCTCGTGAAGCACGTGCTAGGTCATGTCGAGGAGACCGATAACTTCAAACAGTTGCAGGAACAAATGGATGTCAAGTTCAAGAAACAGTTTCCAACGCGAAAAGAATTGGAAATTGTTTCGTCGACGCGGATCTGGAAGCGCCAGGAAAAGGCGGCGAAGACCATTCAGACGGGCTGGAAGGAGTATTTGCGGTACTACAATTACCAAACCAGCCAATTACCTCACCCTAGCATTACCAATCGAGTCCCTTTTCTGATCATTGCGATATCCTAACCTTCTGGTGTCTCTTCACAGGCGCAAGCGCGAAAAGGAACGCTCAAACTCCGGGGACAGTGCTACTCAAACCTCCAGCCCAGGCGGATGGCAATCGAAGCTCTCTGCCTTGAACTTTTTCCACCTTCAGGTGAGTGCCGAAATCTTGGTTAGGCCTACTCAATCTGACCGTATATGTTTCTGGGTAGGTGAGTCGACGTGGCACAGCATGCTCCAGTCGGGCGTCGTCTCGAAAGTCCTCACGTGCCTCGGACGCATCTGATCTTAGCGAACTAGCCGGACCTTGGCTAAACCTGCCCCTGATGCTCGTCTCGGGGGCCGACGACGTAGTCAAGGACATCAAGCAGCAGAGCGACGAGCTGGGCAAACGGTAGTTATCCTGTGTCCACCCGCACCACCAACCCACACTTACACCAAACACACACACAACAAACCAACACACTCACACTTGGCCATTCCATGTATGTTTGTGTTTCATGGCTGCGATGAATTTGAAATGCAATTTTTAGACGAAAACGAAAGGCTTCCATGCTCATGCCACCATAACATGCAACAAAAACATAACCGTCGATCTGCATCGATAAATTAACGTTTTGTGTGTCCACAGTGTATATGAACTTAAGCCCTATTTCTAGCAAATCCTCTTGTATCTCCCTAAACTATGAGTCCCTGCTCGCAGACATGGTCACTGCCGTTCTCAGAAGTGGCTCGCAGCCTAGTGGCTTGAATTACCTAGGTAAAGGCAATCTCCCATCCATCAGCTGCTTAGCTTAGCTGGCAAACTATAACCTACTACTTACGTACAATCTTAAATCTTACAACAGACAACTATCAGAAACCAATATCAATATCAATATCAATAACCAGTATCAAAACAAGTGCAACAAGCAATCTTACCAACTTCGTTTTTAGTTCTCGACTATAACTCATCCATAATCGTTGTATATTCAAATAGATTAAGTATATGTATTTATTGAATCAGCTATCCAGTACTCGCAACAGTCGACTCTTATACGTATTCTCTTAAATATATCCATCCAAACTCAACTCTCAACTTTCAACTCAGCTCATTTAAGCGAACGCAAGCTAAGTCTGTCAAAATATCAAAATATCATATGCCGTCAGAAGCTCTCTACAGCCACCTTATATTCAACTACTACCCAACAGTTATCTGAACAAGAACCACTGTTATTTGCAGTTCTAAAACTTTCGAATAAATTCGTATCTTAACATCATTTAGTAAGTAGCGACCCATTCCTTTGAAAGTAGATCCAGTAGATCCATCCATTCCGACTCCGACTTCACCAGACCAGCCGAAACCAATTTGCGATGGACACGTGAATGCGCAGTTTGAGTTCATTTTGATTGGTTGCTTGCCCTTATCTAGATCGTTAACTAGTTTGGCTATCAATAAGTACTCTCATTTAGTTTAAACGTAGCTTACCGAACATGTCACCAGGTAATTGGATCTCTAAGGCTAAATCTCATCCAGTATCGATTATCATCGCCATTCATAATAATGTACAGCTTCTTTAGAGTCGAAAGCTTTACCTATTTTTCCTTTGTTATTTCGTCAAAAAATTGCAGCTATCGTTGAAACGAAACAATCCTCGTCTTTTATATGTGAACCGACCTACCTACCTAAGTCCAACATTCTACATCCAGATAAATGAAATTATGCTTATGATTGTTACTGTTATTCCAACTACTAAACTATTACTATTATTAGCGGTAGCATATTTGTGGAAGCGCCTAGAGCAAGTCGTCGCCGAAGCTTTTATAATTTCTTTTTGCGTCATCAGGATGCTGTCGATGACAGCTTAACCTCACCTTCAGTACATAGAAAAAGTAATTATTGACAAGTGCCTACTCACTCACCTCCTTTCCACTCTACCAATTACCTACCACCACCATCACCCTCGCCCACCACCCATTCACGACTTTTGTGCTTTTGTAAATAATCTCTGTACATAGCCACCGCCAAAGCTCCAGCACCTCCAGCCACATATGCACCACTATCTGAGTCTCAGTCAGTATCAACCGCACATGTTTGTGGCGTTACCTTCATCAAGATGCATTCCATCGAATCCAATATCTTGCATTCCTAGTTATAAGCTTATGTTCTTGACTCATCAACTATTACTCGCTGCGATCTCTCTATCTCTATATCTCTATCTGTCTATCTGACCTACCTGTCTGTCCACACAACCTTCGTACTTGTGCGTTGTGCCCTCACGATTGCCCGACACTAATGTGTGCCTTTCACCCACAACAGCTGCTATGAACAACACGACCAACACCACCTCAACCTCCACCTCTGGCACGACCTCCTCCACCGCCTCCGCCCCAGCCACTGGGTGTGGCCCAGCAGCCACCTCCGCCTCCGACAGCGACCGACACCAGGCGGTGGGGGGTGGGTCGGCTCCCTCACGTAAGCGCGCCTCTAGTTTCATTCGCAAGAAACCGCCCCTAGAAAGAGGTTTGTCAGCACAAAGCGCTTTAAGAGTAAACAAGAACGCTTTTGTCTGTATGTGTGAATTGTACTTGATATTCCAAGCCGAGCAGCCCACTAAAGTCCCTCTTTTTCGCCGCCTTTCAGCCGAGGCGCCAGCCCCTGAGGTGATCGTCACCAGGCCGTCACCTGACCAGCAGACACATCCACAATCGCTCAGCCTGCGTCCGGATAACGCCACTCTGGTCCATGTCCTGGTCCACCGCGAGAGCGAAGAGTACAAGGAGGAGGATGAGAGCAGCCCGTCCTCGCCCGGAATGGGCAATGGTATAGGCAGTGGCCTGGAGAGGCTGGCCAAGCAGGCTCCGCCTCAGATACGCATTAGCACGGGATCGGTGGAGAGCGCGATGGACACTTGTGCGATGCCCTCGGTGCAAATTATGGTAGACAGTCCCAAGGATCCGCCCCGTGGCGACTTCAGTGCCGAGTTTGCGGCTCACGCTGCGACGGCTATTGAAGACGTAGATGTACCCATCGATGTTAATATCCAGGGTGATACCTCGCAAGTGTTTTACGACTATAATCCGGACAAAGCCACTGGCAATGAACTAGATGGGGAGGAGGAGAAAACGGCGCAGGATGAAGCAATTGCAAATAGACAAAGATGACCTCCGGTCAACATTTCGCAACAGGATTCGGAGCAACGCTCCAGCAGTGGTAGCAAGAGCACTAGCAGCAGCAGCAGCAGCACAAGCAGCGCCAGAAGCAGCTCGTCGTCCTCGTCGTCGTCGGCGGCATCGGCAGCCGCTCCTTCAGCGCGGCGTCCAAGCTGACAACCTCCAGTCTGAGTGCGTATTCGATGCCGATTCCTGTGTGCATTTGTGTCAGAATTCGTAGTTTCTTAGGCTTAGGCATGGGGCTCGCCCCTTTGTTATCATAGTCGATTACCTATATAATTATATACTAGTCGCTTTATACGATATACATATATACACATATACAGATACGGAGCTATCCAAATTTATACATATAATATCAACTTAAGGAGGAAATCAATATTAACTATGTTAACAAAACGTGCATTAAACCGTTGTAGTACTCGAAGCAAATCAAAAGTCCGAATGAGTCGGAATCGCCATCATCATGGTTATTGTCACAATCAGAATTGAGGAAGAGGAGATTTGTCGGTAGTTTACTGCCCGATTTAGTCGTAGTCAGATTGGTTGGCCCACCAAGGATGGAATAGAAGCGAGGAGTGCGAGCAAAGCAAGCCAGAGAGACTCCTATTCCCCCTGCCATGGGCCGACTTTCTTGAACATTTTCGAAGGTTGTTTTTGAACTATACAATACATAGAGATTGGCATTACATGCATACATTACAAGTGTAACTAACTGTCGCGGTTAGTCCTAGGCTCATAACGGTAGTGTTTGTTTTCTCAATTATCGATTATCGACCTGCATATACGAAGGTGTATGTGGATAGTATATAAATACATTTTGTACATATGCCAAAGGAAGTATTTTAAACTAAAGAGCTAATACTATAGTTACAGACATATGACATTAGTTAGAGACAATTTATTGAAATATTTATAAAGGTTTTCGTTACGATAGCGCAGAAAATTGCCGATTAGCAATACGATTACGATAGCGAATATTATCCATTACCGATTGTTCGAAGTACAAAAGCGAAGTATTAGTAGATTTGATTATTATTATTATTATTATCATGATTATATTGTATTGTACATATTTTACGGCTCCTCCCCGATCCATTCCATCTCCTTTCCTCTTCTACATCCACTAACAACAGTAAGAACTAAGCCAAAAACCATGTCAAGTGATTTTGTACTCAACACACTCTCACATATTTAAATCAAATAATCCCAGTCGGGATCTAGCAACTACACTGCACTGTAATCGAAATCGAAATCGAAATCGTTATGATACCAATCCAATGGAACCCGAAATCAATCAGCAGTCCTACCTAAGTACCAGTGAAAGGCTCTTTTATGATTGTGAAGCTAACTTAGTTTATCTCCTATTATGTATAGCCGAAATAAAACATGCGAATCAAAAGCAAGATGCAACCAGTACGGTCTCCTACACGAAGAACAACCAACAAGCTTCCACAAAACTCTATTTTAGCGAAAAAAAATAATTTACAATTTACACTCTACTTCTTTGTACGACTTTGATAATGGTTAGGTCGGGCCAAGTTTCCAAGAAACTCGCCTTGTTTTGTTACTTTTTAAGTGTTGTTCTCTCTTTTAAGTCTCTAAGTCTCCATTGTGATCGCATTAAGTTAAAACATCGAACAGGAAAGAGTTGAGAAGTAAATAATTTATACTCCGAGCTGGAGAATAGGAACAAATACCGAATACTCGTACTTATGCACACCTGCGCCATTCAGGGCACTCCACTCGACTGCAGTCGGGTCTATGCTACTCTTACTCTACTTTCATAACTTAACAACAGACAATCAGACAGCGATTGATAGTAAATTGAAATTCTATGGTACCAACTAAATCGTTTTCTCCAGGAACAAACAACCAAATGAACACACAACAACTTAATTGTGATTTTAACTGCAATTTTTACACAAAAATAAAACAACTAAGGTCATAATTTTAATTAGAGTTGTTAACAAACAAAGGAAACAAAACCAACAACAGACAGAAACCAAACACTCGTCAATTAAGTGATATTTAATATTGGTACGTACTCGTATTCGATTGTACATAAACGAAAAACGATTATGATAATGGTAACGAAATAGCAATAGATCCTCATCCAAACTCAAAAACAAAAAACAAACAAAAAACTAAAAAAAAGAGAAAAGCTTTAATTTTAGTTATCTTGAAGAAAAAAAAACATTAAAAAAATATTACGAATACACAGTGAGACGAGACCAGTCGGAGCGATGCAATGATGTGGGATGTTTAATTTAGTCATAGAGTATAACGACAATAAAATGAACGAGGCATATTCAATTATATAGACGCAAATCGGGCTATCGTTGCCGAAACGAAAATCCGAATTAACAGCAGGAAGGCCACTCACACAGAAACTGGGCAAATAACGACAAACTTAGCTCTTAGATATAACCGAAACGAACCCGCAATCCCAGTAGACGACGCTTTGCTCCCAGTCAAGTCAAGCCAATAGAAAAACGAACCAAGCGAAACCGAAACAGAGGAATACAGAACCGAATCCTATGCATTTACAGCTCTCGGCACCGCAGGCAGGACATTAGGATGAGCTCCCGGATAGGGCAACAGGTGGCTGCGGGATGCAGGAACACATAAAGTACACAGATATATACCTATAGTTAGCAATACGGCTGGTTTAATTAGGCATGCCTTACAGAATACACGATTTTATTTATATATACATATTTATTGTTGAGATTAAAGTATATACGAGCGATAGGAGTTAGCGTTTCATCGGACACGATACCAGCAGCAATAGAAGACGAATAATACCGTTTAAAGCAGGTGCTAAGCAGTAACCGAAACAGAAATCGTAGGATTGTTCAACACGCTCCGAGAACTAAGTCAATTATTTTGATTTGCCGCTTTTAAGGTCCTAGTCCTAGTCCTAGTCCTAGCCCTGTAACAATAACAGCAGCGTAGAGTAATCAAGTCGAGTAACTAAACTAAACTTTATTAATAATTCGTATTTAGCTAAGCTTAATCATTGCCTGCGCTCCACTCGCTCCATACACGCTCCAACGGATCAAATCAGAATTCTGGCCCGTAGCTTTTTATCCGTTGCTGTCGGAGATCATTTAACACGAAAACTAGCCTGAAAATTGTTAACAAATTATGGCCGCATAGCTTGCGCACATTTCCACTCGGATTTCCATCGCCATTGATTGCCTCGTTAGCCCTTTAGGTCCGTGAAATTCGATTTGGTCCGCTACGCTCAGTTCAGCTCTGACTTAATAAAACATTTATCATAGACAAGGAAGACGCAGAACAGAAAGTAACGATTAAGAACCCATTAACCATAATATGTGACTAACACACATTTTGAACCGAATCATATCAAATCAAAACAAAAGAAAACCAAGTAAACGGAATAACTAATGAAAACTCTAAGAAGCGTAAATCTAACATTTGAAATTAAATATTTACTCGGGTACAAATGGTACAGTAAAGATATTCGTTTATACAATATTTACTGTCTATATAACCATTATATACTACTTACTTACTGACAATTATTAAGGGTTTTGTTCAATTTCATTACTCGTATGTTAATAAAAACAATTTCCGACTAACTCGGCCTTTATACTGCAAGTTAAATGCGAATCGATCTCGAAAGTGGATTAGTCTAATCAATACTAATAGCTATACTATAATACGAGAGTGGCTCCACTAGTTCCGATCCTGGAGCAGCTGCAACAACTGCTCCAGCTTGTGCTCGATCAGCTTCAGTCGACTGTCGTTGATCTGCTCCTGCTTCCGCCTCTGCTCCGTGGTGTTCTTTTGGTCGATTACCGCCAGGGCCATTTTCACCGTCCGGCCGTCCATCTGGGAGCACTTTCCGGTAAGCATGGAGCAGCAGCAGGGCAAAAGTTTCAGCGGGGGATCCAGCAGCTTCTTCTGGGGCACCGAAGCACTCATGGGTAGCTGGGTAAAGCTGGCCTGCTTGTTGCCCTTCAGAGTCCTCATCTCGAAAGGATCGCTCATGGGTATAAGCACCTTGTTGCCATCGTTCGGCAGCACGGTGATCTGGCGCAGGCTAAGGTAGTTGGGGTAGATGTTCATTAACCGTTGGCAGATGCTGCGCAAGAGATGATTCCCCATCAGGAACCCAGCTCGGCCGTGTCCAGTCAACACCTGTTCATAGCGACTCAGTACGTTGGTCCTGCAGATGGCGCCGTTCAGTTCCGCCTGGGCTTTGATGACCTGATTTGCCGAAGAGAAGAGGTAAGTCTGGGAGCCCAGATTATAGGTCAAAACGGACTTACCTGGGTGTCGCTTACGGCCAGACCGTTCAGCAGGTTGAACAGCACAATCGTCATAAAGAACACAAATAGCAGGAAGATCAAGTAAGTGTAGATACTCGTGAACTTGATGTCTCCGGCATCAAACTCTCCTGTCAACATCACGATTGTCTTGATCAGAGCCTCGATGGGCTTGGTGAAGGTGTTGAAGTCCCCTTCGTCCTCTCCCTTCTTTGAGACACTCGGATCCGGCGTGCTTAATTGCTCCGATACTTCTGGCTTTCCGAAGAGGATGTAAAAGCACAAACTGAAGGTCAGCACGAAGATCGAGTAGAGAGCAAAGCTCTTTACGAAACTACTCGATACTTCGCGCAACATAAGCATGTGGGTTGAAATCGAGAGCACTGGCAGAGAGCCCACCAGCAAGCAGAACTCCATGGACACCAGAAGGATAGTAAAGACTGCAAGAACTCGTTGCGTCTCCTTATCGAAATTGGATTCAATGCAGGTACAGATGGATAGTATTATCAGAGCCAACTCCATTATGTTAGTAATAGACCAAAAATAACGAATTGGGGACATTACCCACTGGATGGCCTCCCGGACTATGAGATAGCCTATTCCTAGCCAGGAGAGGACTCCAAAAAGGGCGGTGAGAGCCCTTTGATCGCTCTCGTGAAATTTTAGGAGTGTGTGGGTGATGATGGAGGCGGTGAAAAGCGAGTACAGTAGGAAGTTCAGGTAGAATATGACCGAAAGACGGTGCCACTTGAGGAAGAGAAAGCTCGAAATGAGAGGGTGCTGCAGCAGGTGACGCATCTCCTTTGACTCGGCTATAAAAGAGATTGGGGCCATCTCGTCGTGCAGCTGATTGCAAGGAGCAGGGGGCTTGCCCATTCCAGAATCCCGCTCCTGACGCATCAAGTTTTTGTAGTCGATGATGATTTCGAAGTTTCGTTCGCCGGGTTTTTCTCCGTTAGTAGTGATGCATGAATCAAAGTGCTCTTCGAGGACCTCGGGTGGCATATCCTTGATGGGCAGTGTTCCAAATACGCTCTTGGAGCCAATGTAGGCGCCGTGCTTTAGAAGTTTCTGCATCGCCAGCGTATTACGGTATTTCACAGCGTAGGACAGGGGCACCAGACGCCCTGAATCAGCCTCGTTAACGTCCACGCGTTCGCAGTCTATCAGCAATTCAAAACAGCGCTGATGGTTGAAGTCGTCGTAGGGCGGCTCCTCTAGATGGCCGATCACCGCGTTGAGTAACCTGGAATCGGGTGTCAGCCTTAAACTCGGTTCCTTTAGCAGTCGTTTCAGGGCCTGCCAGTTGCCGTATATCACGGCAGACTCGACGAGACTCGCTTCGTTGGCCCTACCGGGCTTCGAGTTGATGTCTATGCCGGTGTCCAGGATGGCCTCGAAGGCTCTCTGCCTGCCCCTTTTTATGCTCTCCTGCAGCAGACTAAAGTACTCCTCCTGGTGAGCGTTCAGTTGGTTGTCTGGCATTCCTTTATGACTCTGCAGGTACTCTGCGAACTGCTGCTCAAACAGTCCTTCGTCTCCGTCACGCAGGGTCCGTTGGAGGGTCTGGATGTCGACCTCCGGCCCGGTCTGGCGCTCATCCGGCAGTTTGAGCTCCGGGAACTGTGCCTGCAGCAGTCGACGTACCTCTCCGTTTCGGTAGCTGTCGATGTCTAGATCCGGCTGGTTCAAAAATAACTGAACCAGGTCCTGCTTCTCTGCTTTTACCTTGCTCTTCCTCAGCACGTGATGCAGTGGTGTGAACTCGCCCTGGTCCACGATGTTCGGCGATGCGCCGTAGTCCAGCAGCAGTTGCATGCAGGATAACACTGATGATGCATTCTCCTCTGAGAGATTCTTGGCCAGCGAGTTGAGTGGTGTGAGTTGCCCGTACTTTCTGTCAACCTGCACCTTCTTTCCCGGGCGGTATTTTAGAAGCGCCGCCAGGTTCCCGGGATCCCTTGAGTCGGCGGCGTAGTTTACTGCTGCCTTGTTGAGCTTATGGTTGATCTGTGCAATGTAAAAATGGTTAGACGAAGATCAATATTTGCATTTTGCTAACCACTCACGTAGTTGACCTGACTGCCGTGGTCAATGCATGCCTCTATAAACTCCCGACAGCCTGGTGTGGACAGGGCCTTTTCGAAGATGCTTGTGTGGCGGTCGTCCTGCAGATCAGCCTGGGCACCGCTGTCCAGGGCTGCGAGGAACTGCCGGATGTCTGGCTTAGCCAAACCTGCTGCCAGCTGGGCCTGCGGATCTATGAAGCCGCAGTTGTTAAAGTCCATTTGTGTGGTCTGCAAAGATCAGGCGGGAACTGAACTGATGAGCAATGTCTATGTGGGTTGCCTCTATGTGATTACCCCCACGCGTCGTGTGAGTAACGGTCATTTTCAGGTGATGCAATAGCCCGCATTGCTCACTCGACTTCTGAACCCACCAGACTGTTGGGCAGTCCGCGAAACCTTGAAAGGCAAAAACAATAGTAAGGTTTGGACGCTCACAGAAAACGGCATTTGACATCGCTTCATGCTACGATGGTTTTCACATGGAATGGACATGAAGCTGGAAAGAAGTCGGGGCCGAAAGCTGCCCTACAGGTTTCTCGGCAGCCAAATCTCCGTTTTGGGGCAATTAAAGAAAGCGTCTTAAGTGGTTTCTGTGGTACCGACTTCGGTCTTAATTTGCTCCCCCGTGTAGTTATTAAATTATAACAATCCGAGCGAAGACAAGACAAGGTCGCAGGCGGGCAGGGGCAGCACTTGAGCCCGGGGAGTGGCTGCTACCACAGCGGCCAGAGTGATCCACAAATTTAAATCAGGTTTGGTGCGGGTATCATCGTCTAACGATCATAAAGAATAATCATAAAATAATCGACACATCAGTATCAATTAGCAATCAATTTGTTGCGCTTTACGCTTTGATAACCCTTCTGGATGGGACTTCAGTGGAGCGCTGGGGGCGGCTCATGCGATGGGAACGCTGAAATCGCGAGATTTATAGGCGGCTTCTTGCGTAAATTTCAAGGCGGCTTCTTCTGGGGTTTCTTGCTTCTTCTCTTCTGCGCCGACTGCTTTGATACTTGAAATGTGTGAGAAATCGGCTAATCACACTCGAGACCTGGCTAATTTGAATACGCCACTGCTGATTATTTATCAATAGCAAAAAATTGGTAATCAGGAAACATCTACTCATCCGTTGAAGGTGGCTCTTCAGGCGGAATTGTTTGGCTTCCCAAACAAATTGGGTATTGTAAATGACCCCCCCAGGTGGCAAGTTCGGCCTGATAAGATAAACAGAACCGCACAATCACCTTCCTTAATTGGCCCACTGTTTGGTCTCACCGTTTGTGTTGTGTATTTGGCCACCAGGCTATTTGTAAAACCAATTGACAAACAACTTAATTGTTTGCCCAACTCATGCCCAAAGTCTTAGAAGACAGTTGACAGAATGGCGTAATGGAAACAGCAGATCGCTTTCAACAGTCACCGAACTGAGGAACCGAATTCTTCGCAGCGTCCGGGGTCTGGAATGCACTAAGAGGCTGCCAAAAGAAAACCCGTTGATCAGGTTTGCACAGGAAAAACAAAAAGACTGCAAATAATTGCACTTAACGGAAGTTTTACACAACTCTTAGCTGGTTTTTCGACGTACTGCAGAAACAGAAATATTGCAAAAAGTGATGTACATATGGTATAAATCTGGGAGCCCCTTGTAAAAATAACCGCAGTTCTAAGCAAGATCAAGTTTGTTCCGGAGTTTGAGGCTATAATTTGTATACCCTTATGTTCACGGAGGAAGACACCCAAAATAATAAAATGAACACGCTTTGTCAAGGGTATGTGAACTTCGGTTTGCAGGGGATTTCCTTTCGCTTTCTCTGTTCCCTGTCACAAAATCCGATGTCTGCCCCGACAACGCCCCAATGAGCAACATTGGCGTGATAGTCCGGAAATGTGTCGGCAGAGGGGAGATGGGATTCGCAACACCATGCCCTGGATAAGCAGCAGTCGCGATAATTATAAAATTTTACTTAAAAGCCTTGAAATTACTTTTCCTTCGCATTACTTGCTGAACAAGTGATACCAGAACGAATGGGGTGCCAATATTTTGGGCATCGCGATTGCTATCGTGGCCCATCGATGTTCGTAGGATGACTGAGCTTCGAGTATAATAAACTAATTTGCTGTCCATAAAGTCTGTTTATTGGCAAAATGAAGATTTTGTTTACTTAATTTAGTGCGATTTCTGCACTTAATGAACAACAGACGTTCGATCGCCTGTGTTTACTCTTCGAACGGAGGCGGAGGCTGAAAAAACAAAGGGAAATAGCCAGAAATTCACATTCTAAAAATGCTTAGGAGTGGCAGAAAAACTGCGATCGTGATCGGGGCCAGCAGTAAACAACTGGAGTTTTGTTATGTACACAACTTTAACCAAGCTCAGCCCGAAATTGTCATCATAAAAAGTCATAATTAAGATGGATGCGTGCGGAGATGGGACTGAAGATGTGGATAGATACGTGGACGGGGCTGACTTCATGGTAAAGTGGGTTTGTGAAGCATCCGCGAAAAAACAACAGCGCCAGAATTTAGTTGTATACGGAAAAAATGTTTAAACGAGCTGCTCACAGACACATGGACAAATGCCCATCCAAAGTGGATATAGAGATGTGTGCTCTATATACTCGCTGTGCACTTCATAAACAATTGACTGGCCCCCATCATGTGCACAACAAAAGATTTGGGAGGGGTGTTCGGCGTGTCCGGGGTGTAGAGACAGAAAGTCAGAGCTCCGCACGATTCAGTAATTTCAAATAATTTAATTAAACACACTCGGACAGAGAGTACATAGTACATGTGTGAGATCAACCCGGGAAAACGAACGGAAATTAATTGCTATGTTGAACCGGCTGGAATCCTCAATAGAAGAAATGGTAACATGCCAATCGGTTTAGACAATATGACCCCTCCGGATCTACGCCTTTGTGCGCCACGAAAAGTAGAAAACGAATAAACAAAACTGGATGGGCGGAGTCAAATCGGCGAGCGAATGAATCCAGACGGACGGTATATGCATTCGTGAGCAGGCTAGGGCTCCAGGGAGGGGGCCTTAACACGCCGCGTATCGCCTAATCGATAGATTACTTAATTGTAATTGGCAATAAAAAATGCAAATTTGGCAGTTCTGGACGGGGGACGGAAACACTAGACGCCTTAATTCCATGCAAATGCTAGTGCTTGGAGGGGACTGTCCCCAACCCAGTTCCCAGTTGGGTAAACATTGGGCTCAACTTTCTGGCCTTACACGACATTTTCTGAGCACGCCTGGTCAGCAAGAACATTTTCCGTTTATTTGCCTTTGGAAATAGTTTCACAATTCGAGCACTTCACAAAAACTGGCCACCGCAGTCGTTGCCTTTTAGGGCACAGAACACCAGATCGTGAACTGCCCACCAGGCATTTGAAAATCGTTTTTTAAAACATCGATGATGTCACAGGTCGCGAATACATTCCAAATTAATCATTTGTCAAATGCAATTCAATCAATTTATTAGCTGTTCTGGACGTCATTAAAACAAAGCAGTTTTTTATTATATTTTGCGATTGCGCCGTGGGCGCCGTTTTCTGCAGTTTTTTAACCTTCGTTCGTTAAATGTTTTAAAACTTGTTTTCACTGCTGCTGTTTTTGTTGTGTGGGCCGCAGCCGCAGCAAAGATCAACTTTGCAACTGCGGTTTCATATCTGCATTACATATGATTCATTCACAGTAACTAATAAAACATTGGGAGATCTCCGCGAGTCATCATCTTAGTTAAGATTTGTCACTGTCCCTAACTGATTTGCATAATCAATGAGATGATTCATTCGTTTAAACATATTTCTTAAGCTTTTCGAAAACACTTTTTTTAAAACTCTTTTCAAGTCTCCTTTCACACAGCAAACGTTAATCGTTCTGCGATCATTACCTTCTTCGTGAATATCCAGCCAACGACTAATCCGATCCGTGAAAGCGATCTTCAAAGTGGCGGGCAAATCACAAAAATTGAAAGTTAACAGAAAGCTAACAGCGGCAGCTTGCCGCCGCCTTATGCGTTGCCTATCGATACATCGGCAGTACGTGTAGCTGTCGAGCTTAAAACATGGGCAGACTGAAAACTTACCGCCACATTTCAAAATATTTGTATTTTTTATGTAGTCAGTTTATTTTTGAAATTTTTTATTTGCATGCTTCATATTCGAATTGCGTTCCACAAGTATTAAAGTCTAAATGTTCAGTTACAGAGTGCAGTAAATCTTAACTCGTTATACAATTCTTTCAGGTTTGTGAAAATAACAAAGCGAAAAATTGTCGGAATGTAGAGTTGTATAACTCGTTGAGATCGTAATATAATTTCTAATAAATCTGTGTCCCCCCCCTAAAATTGTCAAAACTTATTCATTTTTCGCTAAATTTGTTGATAACCACTTTCCGAAAAATGTGAAATTGGGTCTGTTCTGATCTCTTCCCAAGTCAGTATTTTGATCATAACACAGCGAATACTGGTCGGAATGTCGAATATATCTCGTTGAGTTCGTAATTAAATTTGCAATATAACTTGCATTTTAACAAAAGTAGGAGAAAAATGAACAAAAAGGAATATTTCGAAATCAACCTAAAAATGATAGGGATCGAACGCTGAATGTGTTATTGTGGATGGGCAAGATGATTTATTTAAAAAAGAATTAGGATTTATTCTGCGGATTCCATTTTGAGTACAAATTTCTCCATAATTCCGTTAAGGCGCTTACGCTCCTTTAACTGCTGTTGCATTAAATCTGATATCTGAGTACCCAAAGCTAATAATGCCTCCGTATTAGCTTCAGTTCTCTGAGCATTTAAGCGGGTTTGTCTATTTAAATCTCGAAGTTCCTTGGCAATATCCAGGAGTACCGGAACGGAACTGTCTTGTTCAGTTTCTGAAGTATTTTCTTCCACTAGTTTTCGTTTTTTAGAAGTAGTTCGTGGCGTGTAGTTGTTAAAACGGTGTTCTAACGTGACACCCAAGCTCCTTGTATTAATGGGGTTGCCGCAATCTTCGTCATCATATTCTTCTGGAAGAAAGTGTTCAATATACGATTTATTTGTAAGTCCTCCGTACCATTATCTGATAGCGTTGCATCGTCGTGGTCAGTTTTTATGCTTCGCAGAGACACGCCTGGTGACGTTTCAGTTTGGTTCTTGGGGCGGGCTTCGGCGATGGTGTCTGCCATGTCGTATAAGTCACAAATCACGGCAACCGCGTCCTCTAAAGGAGTGAGGGTATCTTGGTACAGCGATCCTTTGCCACTAGCTTTTGAGTCCTCCAGCCGGTTATTGGTAATCTTCTTTCGAATGCAGCTTTTCCAATCCTTCCACACCTGTCGAGACGTTAGTTAAGGAGTAGCTTGTGAAATGGTTTCCGAAAAACCTACCCGTTTCCATTCACAGGCCTCCTTGACAGGGGGGCCTACACTGTTCAGCTCCTTCGATAATCTCTTCCAAGCTGCTTCAGCCGCTTGCTTGTCGCCTTTAAGGTAGTTTTTCGAGATGATTGGATGCCGCTCCATGAAAGCGACAAATATTGCATCCTGTTGGGCGGTTCTGTGCTTACCCCTGTCCAAAAGGACCAATATATAAATATAATAATGAAAGTTTTAAAAGTTTAATCGGCTTACATTGCTCCAATCAAAAATTGCACCCACGCTAAGATTTGTAATACCTTAGTTAAGGTAAAAATGTCTTAGGACCAATAAATAAATACACCCTGCTCTGCTATTCTGTTGACAATAGAGGTGGCATAATCTTTCACGATAGTATCGATAAATTGAATATTTGGACTTGTAAAATTATTTTTGCAAAATTTGTTTTAATTAACATTTGTATGTGACTGATCCGTACCTTCTGCCTCCTATCGTCCGAGAGGAATAGTTCCATTTATTTTGGAAATGTGAAGAATTGTATGGGATACTATCGAATTAAATTAAATATCGTACAAAATGGATTGTAAGGCTTACAAAGTTTTCCCAGACACACACCATTGAATATAACTTTTCCAGGGACCCAAACCAAGTAAGAACGTTTCAAAATAGTCGGTGGTAACATTCGATTGCCATTGTTTTGTGTGTTAACCATTGTTGCACTTTAACACTTCAAGCAACAAGTTGCTTAAATAAGAACATATGAAAGGAAAATAAAAAAATAATTAAGTATCACACATTTAAATGTTACATTTCGTCTTTTAAGCTTTAAACTTTTTTTTTAAAGAGATAAATTTTGGGTTGGTTAGTTTTCTCAAATTCGATTACTTATACGTCCTGTTGACTTTTATATAGGTAGTCAGCCTTCCAAAACTGCGTTGCGATAACTGAAAAAGATAACTAACCACTTTTTAAACTACTTAACTTTGCTGCAAAAACAAACGGTTTAATGCTGTTCTATATGCTGATTCTCCTTAAAAAGAGGGACTAAAAATATTCTTGTAACTAATGTCAACTCACCAATTCAAATCTATAGAAATGGATAATACTTTCAAATAATTCAGAAAAAAAGCATTTCATCAACTTGGGTACACGTGTTCGTGTATGTTTATCATCATCTCCATCACCGGTTCTCGTCAAGTCGGTGTAAATCCATTTAAGTTTTTAACTTGTGTTTTATGGACTCGACCACAAATTTGATGCCCGCACGCAATAGGGCGTTTGCCTCCCCGTGGCTCTCCTTTCCTTACCTTCGAAGCAGGAGCAGAAGTCGCAGGGTCCAGCCATCATTTTATTGCACTTGAAAACTTAATTAGGCCAAAATGCGGTGTGAACGCCTATTGATGGAACAGAGAATTCTCGTTTCGGCAGTTGTGCGGGATTTTTATTACACGCATCAAATGTAATTTGTTACAAATTTGATGTGTTTCTATCTTCTTAAAAATGGCATAAATAAAAAAAGTTGTTCCTAAGTCCTGGGGGTTGAAATAAGCCTGCTTGTGCTGATGGCCTCCTTTTCTGAGCCATCATTTAAATGCGTTGCAGGTTTTATGATCGGTCAAGTTTTGGCTTTGGCTGAGCGGAGGTACAAGCACTATATTGCATTTGCTCAGATTAGAAGCGTTAGGAGTCTTGTCGTTCCCTTAACTTCCTTTTCAGGCTTGAAAACATTCATTTCAGATACCTCCTGCGTGGTCATACAAATCTACTGACGTGCACTGGGTGTCAGGGGTCAGTGCGTCCACACGCAGAAAGATTTACTACATAAAAGTTGAAATCTTCAATACTATTTGATAGTTATTTTGCGAATGAATTTACCCTGAATCTATTCCAAGGGTTGGAGAGTATAGAGTACTCTTTTGTGTGTCACTGAAAGAACTGAGGGGTTGACTCACAGAGAAGGCAATGCTTTGTTAAAATAGTTTGTGCGATTAATTCGTTTTTTTAAATAATTGAAGGCAAGTTGTCTTCATTGTTAATGACACTATTTTAAGGACACTAAATAAGGGATGGTTTCATATGTTGCAATGCCTAATTTACGAATTACGAACCACGATAATCGAATTCAATTCAATAAATCGAACTGTGTATTATGTTGAACTTTTCATTTGTATTTTCTCTGCCATTATTTAAAAATTTCCTTTGCGGTTCCAGACTCGGTGGTGAAACGAACGCATAGCCTTGGGCTATTTGTGGGCTTCGGTTGTTTGCTTCGTTAGCACATCGAGAATTTGCATCAAAAATATAAACATTTTGTTCTTTCTGATTGGTGTTGATGTTTTTCCCAATCTAGTTTTGGTCATCCATAGCTAACAACTTTAGCGCCAAGTTCGGCCCCGGAGGAGGGTGGACAAATTTATTATTTAAATTTCCGCAGCTGATTTAGTTGCATTTATTATTCAGCATTACAGCAGAGAACCGACAGCCGACAGCATACCCAGCATTGTTTTAATTCACTTAAAACCGCATAAATTTAACTTTACATGCAAGGCGACAACTCACGTGCCCCTGAGCGTATACGCTTCTTAATTTCCAATAGATCCGACTATGTCTTTGCCTTGTGCCCCACTAAGTGCGAGCTGCTCGTTAAAAGCTACGAAATGCCGCGAGAGGGAGAGACTTTAGTTAAGCTTGCTTAATTCAATCAAAAGCACATTCTACTGCCCGGCGGATCGTTAGTCGATCGCTCGGGCGCAGCAACTGCGGTCATTCCAATCCCAGATCCGTAGATAGCTTATCGTGAACCCCTCGCTAGCCAAGATGCTTCCTTACTGGTGTTGCAACGCTTTAGTCTTCTTGCTGGCGTCATTGCTGGCGCTGTGCCCCTTCGCCTGGGCAAAGTTGCGTAAGTGTGCAACTGCTAAGAATGGTGACTTTGGCCAAGACCTGTAGCAATAGTGCGTGACTCGCATACAAATTTATGAGTCAAGGTCTGGAAGGCCTAAAAAATTAATAAGTAAATTTTGCCCTAACCGAAAATTACCTGCTTTGGGAGTCACCTGAGAATGCCACTTATAACTCTTCTGACAGCGTCTTCAATCAGACCATGTGCCCGCGATGACCCGCAGTTGGAGCGCTGCATCATCAACGCTGTCTACCAAATAAGGCCACTGCTGGTTCACGGAAATCTCGGGGATGGCTACAGAACACCTCCGTTGGAGCCTTTGGCCCTCGATAATATCGAACTGGGGCGGAGCAGTCAGTTCCAAGCTGTGTTTACGGATCTCGAGGCCAACGGAGGCAGCAACTTTATCATTGACCGTCTGATGTACTTACGATTAAACTCCTAAGCGATTTTCGATTCTAAGTCAATCATCTTTTTCATGCAGAGCCAAGCCGTTAGATATATCTTATGACCTTTGGATTACGCTTCCCGCATCGACTTCAGAGGGAAGTACTCGCTGCACCTGAACTTGCTGCTTCTGGACATAAAGGGAAAGGGAAACATGCAGGGATACTGCGGTAGGTGCAAGCTGCTGACATGAAAGCCAAGCTCCAAAACGTTTCTTTTGTTAACCAGAAAACGCGAAAGCTTCCGTTAAGATGCGTGGCTCTCGCTACCTGCGAAATGGGAAGGATTATGTAAAGTTCACAAAGATGACCATGCGCATTGATTTCAAGGACTTCAAGTTGAACTTGGAGAATCTGTTCAACGGCGACCGGATATTGGGAGACGTGGGAAATAGCCTGATCAACAATAACCAGGAACTGTACCTGAACGAGATCGTGCCAGGCCTAGAGCAAGGTCTTTCCAAAAAGTTTTTAGATGTGGCAAACGAAATCCTGGCCACTGCTACCTTCGATGAGATGTTCCCGCCCGGAAGGACTGTCATCAATCCGATCACACATCCGTCGCGGTTACCTTCAGTGGGTCTCGGCCCATCTATATTCGAGCCCCCCTTTGCTTCCCGAAATCCCGACGGGGGTATTCTGGACAGTTTATCGCCCAGAAGGTCCCATGAGTCAAGGCATGACTAACTCGAGGGCCATTTTTATTGTTAAGAAATCCCATTTTGTAGCTGATCGATAATATAAGCAGTGTTCGTTCCATTTCATTTACTACTCCGTACTAGATGTTCAGAGTTTGTAGAAAAATATCAAAAAGTACAGTGAAGGTACATTCAATTTTAGCACACGCAACTTCTCCGTGGAGCGCTTAGTGACTTACTCCACATTCCTCTCGAGGCTGCGGAGCAGTCGGGAAAACTTTTTAATCCGATGCCGAGCCTGTTCCTGGTTTTGCATATTAGGCTTAAACTTTTTAAAATGTGTAGTCACCGCCTAACGGCGCCGCGGGGACAGTTTAAAGGGCGCATACATACACTTTCTGCCAGCATTACACCTGTTCAATGGGTCAGGGGCGCCGCGGACTCCTTGCTGGCCTCCTCTCGCCGTGATTAATCACCGGCAGCGACAAAGATGAATTTACAGAGATTTTTCCCCTGAAAGTTTTTACTTTCGTGCGGGGGAGTGGGCAGTTAATTGCGTTGGATGGTCGGCGGACGATGGACTCGGGTAGCCGAAAAAAGTGTTGCCTCCCTAGCGATATTCAGCTGGCTCTAATTAAATTCATGCGACGCAGCTGTCACTGGCAAGAAAAAAGCATTATCGACTTTTAGGCGCTTAATATTTCAAATGAAAATGTTTTTGATGTAAACAGGGGAAGTCAAAGGAAAACCTTGGCAACATCTTCAACTTCCGCACTGGCCAGTGCCTGGCAAAGTGTCGCCGGCATTAATTTCATTTATTAATTTTTAACTACGCCCGCGCACCGAAATAAGAGGAGCTTGATAAATGGAGGGCTAGCAGCAGGAGCATTACGTAGAGCGTGCACTGGGAGGTGGTTCGAAATCTTTCCTTTTCTTTCCTTTCCTTTCATTGTGCGCGTCCCCATTTTTTGTTGCTTCCTTTTTTCCCATTGCTTTTCTTTTCCGACCTTTTTTGTTAATTTTTTTTAATTCTTTGCTTTTCACTTGAAAGACGCTCAAAACGTGGAGATGCGCCGAGGCCCGCTAATGTCCTTTCTTTTATCATTAAGTACAAAACGTGGGTGTCTTTTTCGGGGATGGGATGGGATGGGGTGGTGTGGGTTGGGTTGGGTTGGGTGGGTGCTTAGATGGCTCGTCTTGGGCGTGGCAAGTCCGTTTCGTTGGGCGGCGTGGAATGGGGTTGATGGGGATACGCAGGTATTTCTGCTGCCATTAGAGAAAAGCCTCACTCTGTCGGCTTAAAGTTCTAAAGTAGCGAATTCTGTTAACTTGGCCAGGACAGCATAGCTAATGTATATGCCAAGTAAATATATTTTTAATAATTAATAGGCAATTTATATAAAGCGCTTACTGGCTGCCTAGAATGGTTTTCCTTTCTTTAATGCTGAATACTTCTAATTTTTGAAACAAACTGGACAAAGCTATATCTGGCTGACGTTGGTCTCGTTCCTGGCAATCTGTTCGCAGTTGCAGGTGCAGGCGAACTCGGCGTCGGGGTAGAGATCCACGATTGTGGGCGAAGCGAAGCGCTCCTCGAAGGAGGCGTACTGGCGGTGGTGGTGGATGAAGTCCAGGCTGACCTTGTCGTTGAACCTGCGATGCGGCTTGTCGCCATTACCTTTAAACCTCTGGAAAAGCTCCCGCATTATTTCGTTGGGGTACTTCAGGTAGTTGCGAGGAATCGGATACGGCGTTACTGACACATTACACCGAATTTGGGGATCGTCCTGCATCACCGACGTCTTCACATTGTCGTTGTCCCACATCCCCTTCTGGATTTGGCCCGTGTGCATGTGGTAGAAGACACCCTCGCCGTTCTTATACCCCCTCGCGAAGTGTCCTTCGTAGCGATTGCCATTAGCTGGTTTTTTAAAGGCAATTACCAATTATGAGGGAGGTATCAGTTAAACTGCCATGTCTTACGAACCGTAGAACATGACCCCCAGGCCGTGTCGGAAATCAGTCTCCCACTCGCCCGCATAGATGCTCCCATCGGCGTACCACTGAATGCCCAGTCCGTGGCGCCGGTTCCTTAGCCATTTCCCGAAGTAGACGCAGCCGTCGGTGTAGAATTGCTTGCCTTCTCCGCACTTCATGTCGTCGTACCATCTTCCCGAGTATATCAGCTGAACGTCGGGCCCGCGCTTGCGTAGCATCGATCCGACTCCCTGCCGCTTGTTCATCACCCAGTGACCCTCGTAGACGAGCTGCCCTTCAGGCTGCTTCTTGCCCGAGAAGTACTGGGAAGTCCGCTTCGCCGTCTTCTTGACGCCCCAGCCATGGTGCTTGTTGCATAACCAGTAGCCGGAGTAGGACCCACCTCCGGGATAGTAGAAGGTGGCCCTCCTGCCCGTGCTGCAGACAGGTTTGTTGGGGCAAAAAAACCGTTCCAAACAGGTACTCATGTCTCTATCGAAAAGGTGACCCGGACGTTTGAAGATATGCTAATGTGTGAGTAAGGATTTGGCTGACAATCGAAAATTGATTAAATGTGAGCAGAGAACTTGCTACGGTTCCGTATTGTACTTCACAATAATCAGGACCTTCGAAGACCCTTTAAATGCTCCAAAGTCACCACCAGACACTACCGAACTAGATAAGTACAATGTACGGGCTACCCTACTTGGAGGCTTAAGGAAATCAAATGCAATCTGGAAATTTGAGGTCGCCCTTAAAAAGTTTTTGGGTTAGGTTTTGTGTGCGAATCAAGCACAAACATCTTGGGAAGTGGAAAGGTAAATGGTTAGGCTTAAGTTGTGGACACCCATTGTGCCACTTTTTGTGTCATTCAAATTTCCGATGATTGCAAACCTTTTAGGAGCCTTAAGGTACAAAAACGTAGAAGTCGGCAATGGATTATAACAATCGAAATCGAATCGAAAGTTAAGTGTGTCAATAATTTTATACCAATACAGTTTAAGGCCCTATTTTAGTCATTACTCGACCGCCCCATACAGTGTGAGACCATTTGGCAAACTAATTAGTCGCAGACTATTAATAATCAATGAGCGAACGAGTCTCCTTTGCTAGTAGCCAAGTCAACGGCTGATCAGTTCGGTTAATTTCTCCACTTCCGGTTGTAACTGAACCGGATATCTGCCTGTGGCCGAAATAATTGCAAGTGACAGGCGCTTTAATTTTTCTTCTTTTTCGACAGCTTATATTTACACTGCGACTGGGACTGGGCCGGAGCTGGGACTGGGGCTGGGACTGGGTTGCCATGTTTATGATAAACTTAACTCAGAGGGAGGAGTTTACGTTCTCTTAGAGAAAATCAGAGTCCAGGCAGGCGTTCGCTTTTGCCTTCCTTTTCATCCATCCTCTTGTTTTGGAAAACTTCAAATAAACAAATCAACGAAGAAAACAAAAATACAAAACTCTAAAAGATACAACTTTTTGGGTTTTCGGTTGAGTGAAATGGAAAATTTTAATTGCTTTGCGCGATGTGTATCCATCGATGTTGCTGCCTCTTCTGGTAGGTGCGGCATGTTTACTCAGAGCAATTGAATATTGGAACACCTCAGAAAAGCAAATGATGGTTTGATGTGCCGCACTGTTCAAATTTGTCACATTCGTGGTGGCGCTCTAAGCAGTTCCATAGTCCTGTGAAAAATCGCGAAAGCGATTAGGACCCACAACTTCGCCACCGAGAACGCGGCAACCCAACCCTTATAAATTTTAAATTATTGCAAAGGGCACACAAGCGAAAATGCGTACAGAATGCGACACGCACGCGAAAGACGCAAATTGCAGATTTTTCTCATTAAGCTCATGTCAGATTAGCAAGGACGCGGGGGGCAGGGGGCAGGGGAGTGGCGGAGGAAAAGGGGAAACACTCCTCTTGGAGCTCGGTTAAGGCCAGGAGGCAGTACACGCGGGTGCCATAAATTATTTGCCCGGGACAACCCATGGAAAGCAGCGCTAACTTTTCCTTTCACAAACCGAGACGTCGCAGCGATGGCGTACAACAGCATTTGTTAAGAACTAAGTGATGGGGGTGCTCTATACGCGAGATGTGAAATGAGTCGTCGATGGGTGCGGGCTTCTTGTTGCAACATCGAGCTGGCAACCCTATGTTGCCACGTTGGAAAACAAAACGGGAGCAGTGCCATCGAACTGAAAACTGAAGAGTCGACCGATGCTAGTCGACCTGTGTATTCCCTTCAGCAATCCTCTAGAAACTTTTAAAGAGTTTCTAAAAGTTGCTACTCTTAGTATTGTAGCCGGATCAGAGTTCGTGTATACCTTCGGGGAGGGAATAGCCTTCGTAATGAAACAATTTGCATATCTCGCCTGCGACGCCTGTTACTCGGATAGGGTTGCTTCTCAGCCCGACATTGAAGCGCAAGCGAAGCTCATTTATAGCCAGCCATAAGACAAATGGCGTGAGGGAGCGGGGTCCGACTAAAAAAACGTTTATGCAGGGATGCTTTCTCCGCCATGGAGGTGGAAGGGCCTTTGTTTTAGACTTATTCAGATCCAACCCTTGCCCGCAGTGGGCAGTGGGCAAGCGACCAATGAGGGTCCGCCAGCCGGTTAACCCTTTTCCGAAACCAGGGGTGAGAGCCACTGCTGCCACACCCACCCGAGAGGCAGCGCAGGCTCATTCTGGAATTCGAAAAAAAAAGTTTGCGTTTCATTCTTTTTGGTTTGGTTTTGGGCCAAACTTTGATTTCTTTGATTTGCATGCGCCAAAGTTTGTTCGGCTGGAAAGAAAAACAGAAAACAACCGCCGACCAAAATTTGAGCTGGAAACAAATTAACAGTCCAGTGATTATTGTCAAAAGCAAAGGACGAGGAGGCCAGAGAAGTGCCTCCCTCCTCCTTTCTGCAGACCAATTCAAAAATTAGAAAAGGGCATAATTTTAATGAACTTTCTTCTGGAGTCCCGGGCTCCAAGCGAATAAATACTGCCTGGTAGCCAAAGCAGCTGTCGAAAAAGGACTTACAAGTTTGCATTCCGCTGTGCCCACTTGTCTCGGCTTTTGAGTTGTTTCGTGAGCCTCTTTAATGGGAGTTTGTTTTTCAAAAGACTTCTTGGAGAGCGCAGAAAGTAAAAAGTTGTAATATGTTGATCTCGGCTGGTTTAAATAGTGTAAGCCATCACGACGCCAGGGGCAGGCGTTATTCATGGCTCTGGCATTAATCACAGAACTCAATCGAGGTCGGCCTGTAATTGCATCCCCGTCGGTTGCGTGTCCCGTCCCACCTTTCGCAACTGTAATCTGAAATGGGTCTCGAATTGCAGCGGCTGCAAGCCAAAAGAAGCGGGGCCGCACCTGCTCCTCTAATCTGTAATTGCTTGGCCCGAGTGTCGGCGCACTTTCCTAGCCTCACGCTTGGCTGGTGCCAAATGGAGAGGGCCACGCCATCTCAATTCGAGATGGTTATGCAAAATGCAGTACGAGCAGTGATCATCTATTCGATAATCGCAAAACTGCTATTTGAGTCGCCTTTCTTTGGGTTTTGTTAGGGGTATTTCGAATCTGCCATACCATTACCATAAATTCATTCATTGAAAGCTCAGTTAACGTAGTTAACGAAGTTCAGAGGATGTACGAGTATGTACCTCTTCATTTACCAACGGGCCTTGTCCTTAAAGCCTTTTAAGAAATCATTAGATCTGCCCTTCAGTTTTCGCAGAGGAACAGAGCAATAATGGATAGATTTCAATTGTCTGAGGAGAAACAATCCCGAAATGATTGATTAGAGGCTGGCCGGCCAGTCAGGTAGCCTTTAGAGACCCAATAGGCTCCTAAACCCAATCTTGCCTAATATTTTACGCTCATTTAGGGCATTACCGAACCAGCCATCGGATTGTCTGCAACGCACCCTCCGCCTAACAATGGCCTTAACTCTTGAGCGGGCCCAAAAGGAATTGCAACTGCGGATCAAGGGATCACAATGAAACGGATGGGAAAACTAAAACCAACGCCCGCTTGACATTTGGCTGCTAAACAAACAAATACTGCAAAAAACGGAGAGCTGCAGGGGAAGGTCGGGCGACCTGGCAAGTACCGGTTCGGCGCGGGGGTGAGGAGCAGGTCAATCAAGGGCTAGGTCTCGGGCTAGGCCTAGGGCTAGGGCTAGTGTGCAGTTGCAGTTGCACACCGGTGTTGTCTTTCCTTTCTGCTCTTCCAGAAAAGGAATATGAACCCCCTCCTTGTCCTTGCTTTGGTAAAAAATTGAAACTGAAATTGAAATTGTGTCATTTCATGCCAGGAGCCGAGGCGAGCTAGGGGAGTGGGGCAAGGACCAGGGCGAGGGCCAGGGGACACATATACACCTGGTCCCGAAGAAGTTTTATGTCCTTTGTGCAGCCTGCTTCCTCCTAACTGTCATTTTTAATTGTTTGCGTTTAACGGTTATCAGCCGGATACAACGAATACAGACCAAATTTATAGGAATTTCGCCCTTCCCTGGGCTTTTTATGCTCCGAACTCTTGACGTGGCCAGTTGCCCATTAAGCTTACTTTTAAGTGCCATTCAGCCCCAATCCACCCCGTCCGCGCCGGGCCTTTCTCTATCGCAGCGCTCTGCACTTGAAAAATTCGCGCATGCACAGCAATTTCTCGTCTCGCCTTTCACTTTGTTCCTCATTTTCATTTTCATTTTCATTCTCATTTCCTTGCCTTTCCTGCCGCCGTATTCCAATCTTAATTTTTGTTGGTGCTTCTTTGGGGTTGAAAATAATTCATTTATGCAAATGAGGGGGTGTTTAAAATTAAGCAAAGAGCACGTAGGCCAAGAAAGCGGTGCCAACAACGAGCAGCGGCGAGAGGCGGCAGCTATGATGAAGGAGGTGACTGGCTGCGTGGAGTGAAGGGGGAGAAAGGGGAAGGACTGGAGCTCGCAAGGGCAGTAAGGGCATTGGAAAATGATAAAAACAAAAGGTTTTCGCCTTCCCCGCTGCCACTCACCCCTTAAGAGAGCTCTCCACCCTCAAGCAGCTTCTCATATTCCGCTGCCTCAGATATAAGTTACAATTTGTAAGCTTTTAATGGCGGCTTTGGACCAAAGTGGCGGGGAATCACGCGCAAAGCTTCAAAAGGTGGCAAATATGTACAACGCCTTACTTAGAGTCGGAGATATAGGATAATGCCGAGAGTTCTTATATAACAAAAAGGGTTTGAAGTTTATTACTCAAGTAAGGATCACAGGGGGACCTATTTCTGCTTCGCTAAAACCCATCCAAGTCTCAGCACATTTCATATTTTAGTTCACTGCCTTCGATTATAAAAGGAGTAGTTCTTGGTTGTAGCTCCAATTCGATACTGGAGATGCTTTACCCCTTACAACCGAGAAAGGAAGCGCTTCATCGATAAATAACACAATTTCGATTATCTACCAGGCATCTCGAATCATTTCAAAGTGCCTCGTATCGTCAAATAAACAGCTCACTTCTCGAGGCAAATTGATAAGGCC